ACATTTAATAGGTAATAAAAGTCAACATGTACGCGTAAGACATATAATGTATATATATATATATATATATATAATAACATTTTCAATCATAAACTTCTCTCGTTTGCTTCTTTTGTGAATGCGGTTCAATCAGTTTTCGTACATTGCTTAGTGTAACTCAATCGCAAGCAGACACAAAGCAAACATATTTAGTATAATTAATCAACTCGCGTTCTTAGTCCTTAGTCAGTGTTTATTCATTCGTCAAATTTTTCTCCCGTTTTTCGTACGTCATCTCTCGTTTTTCGCAAGGAAATATTAGGTAAATAGATTGTCGTCGTCCGGTAAAGCCGACTGCTATCTTTAACACTTTGTCTAATAAACTTCTCCATCTATTTATGTCATGAAATGTCGACTTTATAACGATATAAAGATTTGTTATCCGTGAAAACCCCGACAACAACCCAGGGGTTGTCCGAAAAATAGACCCATTTAGTCCAAGTTTACAGCACTAAAATTTATCTCTGTGAAATAATTAATTCGTGCCACCTTGCTGCCATGTAGAACATTCAACATTTTTATATGATAGAGAATTTCATAAACGCTCTCATTAAAATCGCTTCTCTTAAAAATTTTCACATTTAGATGAGGTTTATGCCAAAATAATGTTTTCCATCCGTTCCGATTAACAAATATTGAACTGAAAATGAAAAGTTATTTTCATACGACGGCCTTTTCGAAGTACATCTTCTCAAATGAATTTAGAAAGTCACAATAGTTCCGTTCCAATCCGTATTTAATAGCGCTTATCCTTGGATCCAAGCATAGATTTCATTAAAAGAATCTCTAAAACTACAATCTTTTCAGGCAGCAAAGAGACAGAGGAATAGACGGATAGACAACAATTGAATCGATTCAAGATCGATAAGTTATTCAAAATCGTTAATAAGAAGTGAATCTATCGCTTCACTTTACAGTGTTATATACATGCGAACAAACTTAATATATCCTTACTGAACCACAAATAGCGTAAGCGCGTAACAACTGCATCTTCTGTCCTTCTTCTTGCATTCATTCGAATTTGCAGCCAGTCCCTAACTGATAATAATATTCTCGATATCCCTAAGTGATCACTTATTGGCAAACAATTTGTTGTGCTTAACAGTTTTCGGTAAAGCACTTTTTTTTACAACCCTGTAATAAAATGGCGCAAGATAGTCTGATATTCGCCAAATGATTTGCTAAATGAAAGATATTCTCTAGGTATTGTTCCTTGTTGCCAGGCCTTTCGCCCAACTCGTAAAGACCAACATTTCGGTGGTCACAAATTCTGCTTCTTATTGCAGAAGGCAGTCTGCTTATTCGATTCTTCGATACTACTTTTCCGAATATTTAGTATGCTTTGTGCAAATTTTTCCCGATTTTTTCAAAACTAATTAATTATTAAACATTTGCTATCATAAACAAAAGCTATGGAACATACGTTTGAAAGTGTGGACATGAGTTTTATTTATCTATCGAACTCATACGATAACTGCGAGTGCGTATTGCTAAGTGTAAAGTGGGCGTTACATACATGCCAGCTAGCCCCTACAATTATTATTTGCGTCACTTGGCTTTCAGAAAGAGCAAATCAGGTTTAGGTAATAAGAAGAAGAAAAATACATTTAAAGATAAGCCAATGAGTTGAATAAATGTCGAAAAATAAATCAAACAAACAGGTGAACTGAACAATGAACGTTTATGAATACATTATTTGTGAATTGTCCGCAATTACGCAAGCTTCGAATGTCGTGCTCATATGTATAGGGATATGCGCAGCAAATGTTCTACAGATACATAAAAGACATATGTCCATCAGCCAAATCCTTTACTAGGACCACAAGCCTCTCTCAGCTGAACAGGGAATTGGTTGCATAGCGTACAGCACATTACTGCACCTCGCCGTTCTGCAATCTCACTGCTCGCTTCTGAAATAATGTACCAGCAGTGGTCTTCGCCACAGAGCCCGATGTTTCCGCTTTTTGATTCAAACGTACATAAGCACAACTCTCTCTTTCCATCATCCCTTTCCGCCGTGCTCACACATAGGGGGGAGCATCGCCTGAGCGACTGATCAAAATAAAACAAAAAAACAAAATGCAAAGTTACCCGTAAGAGATAATTTAATAAACGATACAGAATTTTCTAATTTATTACCCTACACAACTTGTGATACTTGCGTGGGATATTAAGTTTGTGCCGGTATATGCGACACCCGCCCATGAAGGACTCACCTTTCAGCGTACCAATCGATTCAAAAAGTGATTCTAGGCTTCTTTGTCCATTCGTCCGTCTTATGTTTAACCTCGTCCACCTGTCCAACGATACTTCGGATCGCATCACCTATTGAGCTCTTCTCGCAAAAGTCCTCATGTTAAAAAGCCGATATATAATATAACTGCAGGACGGTAGAAGCTGTTTAATGGTCATTATTCACTATAATCTTTTCATTTGTTTTTTTTTATATATGCAAAATGAAATCTTCGAAAAAGTCTGTTTGGATTTTCGAAATCCGCGTGACCGCAGTTTGGGAAATCCTGCATAGGAAAGGCAAACACTTTCCCGTGCCAGCTAAGTTGAGTTGGTTGCTTTTGAGGGTCCCATGCGTATTATTATTATCATTATTGTTATTATAATTCGTTATCCTTATTATCTCAAAGGAATAAATCGTTGATTTAAAGTACGATGAGCACTAGCAACTAACACATTTGGGGCATTTCTACTTTACGACGCTATGCAAAAATTAAATCGGGGCTAATAACTATATATATAGATTTATCATCCTTATCGTCTCTTCACGTTCAAGTAAATAAATAAATAAATTTTCATCGAAATCCGTAGTCCGTTGGATCGTGCAAATTTTATCGCCAGTCTGTTTAAATTATTAGGGCAATGCAAGGAATATCATATCATACTTAGAGACAGATTTAAACATTGGACGAGAAACAAGCATTTGCGACGCAGTCACAATCGTAGTCGTCCCTTCAATTACACAAGCTAAAGCCTTTTTATCAGTGATCACTGATTTTCCTATTATTGTTGAGTATATTAAGTCAGTTTCTGATGTTGCGCGTAGGAAAGTAACCAAACGTTGTAAACGGAATGAAAATTTTACTTACCTATCATGTACAACAAACGAAATGATAATCGCCTTCAACTCTTTCTATCCCAGTATTTTTTATTAAACAAATCTATCGCACATGGATGGGCGGCAAAATAGATGCAAGGTGTATTTTTCAGTTTCATGCCGCTAAAATTGCGACAAAGCCCGGATAACGTGTTTTCACCTGTCGCAGATATGTTCAAAACTGATTCCGGGATTCCCACGTGAGCTAGTTCTTGCCGCAAGACGTTTAAGGGTTTTAATCTTGCTTTAGTGGCTTCTTTCGTGTGGACAGTGAATTTGTGGATGGTTGTGAATATATTCCTCTATGTGTTTTGCAATACATTCCTGTAAAAGTCGATCGTAAAGTTAAATCGTATTCCTTGAGAAGGAAATGCAATACGAATTAGTTTTTATAATAAGATTAGATGGGTCGACGACCACTTCGTCGATTGTAGTGACAAAGATAGATCGCTAGTTAATCAGCTTCGAAATTAGGGAATAACGTACAAATTTATTACCGCATCATTAGAACGATTACACACGAACACTTTGTCACGAACGTTATATAATATACATGACATGATATATACTAGGGCTTAATCGCATCTTCAGTATCATCAACGAGTAGTGTAGATATGAGAGCAACGATCATTTGCTGTTTTCCTTAGGTATCACACACGTCGCAAAATAAAATCGGAAATATACCTTAGATCTTATAATTAATTTTTTTTTTTTTGTCGAAAACATGCATAAGCACGAAGAAAACGAAGAAGAAGAAAAACTCGAAACATGTTCCATGTAAAATTGCTAAGGAAGATGCGTAGTAGCACTCTTTACGAGTTTATTAGTTTTGTGTTATTGTAATTCATAAGCAATGCCTGTTACGTCTCATTTAGTTGCCGATCACAAGATTCGCTTAGTGAAACAAAGATAATTGTATAAAAAGGAAACGATACAGTTAATAATTAAATATAAAATGGGCGACGTTGATGTATTATCGACGCGTTTTAAATCGCGCTTGCATTTGCAAAGTAAAACTATCGGAGCTGATCGTATAAAAAGAGCGAAAGAAAATAATGAAGATATTGCAGTGCTAAGCATGTTTTTACCGAATGCTTCAGCTCGAGAAGAAAATCGCAGTTTTTATTGCACTCTTGGCGATCATTGCCGCCTAGGCGATCCGAAATTGACAAAAGCAGGTAAAGTCTACGGATCTTCGCATTTAAATTAAATTTGTTAACCTACTGTTACGTATTTCAAAAACCAATGACTTTAGTTACAAGGATTCGATACACTTGACAGTAGATGCAAGGCAGAATTTCAAAAAAAAAATAAAAATAAAAAAAAAAAATAAAAAAAAAAAATAAATAAATAAAGAAATCTTTAAGCGAAACTAAGTAAGTTTGAATAAAAATTTCCAAAGCTCAAGATGAAGAAGAAAACTGCCTTTGGTATTCGTTCGCATGATAACATATATAGACGCGCACTACTCCCTGTCTTGCTTCATGTAATTTTTGAGTGCTACTGATATTACAATAACAAATAGCGATTGTTTTTAGGACAATCGATATTTCGTTGTGTGTCACTGTTACAATGTCATTCTCGCTATAAAATTTTCCAAATATTTCTTCTTTGCCATAAATCGCGTGACAAAACCGTCGCAAACTAATCTAATTGTGAAACTAAAAACTAAAAAAAAGAAAAAGTCAATTATTTTGAAAAGCTCTTCATGCTCTTCCACTTATAAAGATGATTGATAAAAAGCAGTTTTCATTAAAGCTACCTGCCTATGAATGCTCTACACACATTAGAAATTTGAAATTATTTTATTTGTGTTTTTTTTTTTCTTTCTTTTTCATATCATTAATTTCAGGCACCAAGAAAATGGAATACAAGACTAGGCAATGGCATGAAAATTGTTTCTGCTGTTGCGTATGCAAAATTGCGATTGGCACCAAATCGTTCATCCCTAGAGAACAGGAGATCTATTGTGCCAGTTGCTATGAGGAAAAATTTGCTACTCGTTGCATTAAATGTAACAAGGTAAGCTAAGATGAATACACATACATATCTTCGATTACGATCGTCGCATATATATTATCATTCATCGAGATTATGATAAGCATATATTTGTGTTTGGAAAGGGAATGGAGGGAAAAGGGGTTTTTCGATCGAACAGCAATATTTTCCAAGTATCTATGAAACGATTTCAGAAAATTTTCACACTTTCGTGGGGATCCTTTCCTTCCGAATTATGTAATTTTCCATAAAATTCCATTTCCTCCGTTTATCGATTACGCTTCGGCCGCTTCTCTATCTCTTTCTCTTTCCTTACTTCTTTCCGACCGTCCCCGTAGTACACGAGTAGAGGGCATCCCCTGAATGATTGCTCATATAATTGAAAGAAAGAAAAAAAAAAAAAACGTTTAGGAGGATAAGAGCTTTTCTCTACCCGAAGAAGCGAAGGCCTTTTGGAGAGGGCATTTCTTGCGGACAGCCCTGAACTGAAACAAGCAACCCCTTAAAATTTCTTTTAAAAAAAACTGTCGCATGCGATATTTTCGAAATTTTATACTTCACTATGTGGAATGTCTCTCGCCCTCTATCCTTTGTCCAGTTAAGTGTTTGATACTACTTCGGAGAATCTTTGAAATGCATTATCTACATATACTTCAATTATATGAAAAAGTAAAAACTTCTTATCAACTCGGATCCGTTAAAACAAGCTCCTACTTTATTCTGATGCATACCTTCCGTTCAACGGCAGCCGAACTTGTTGTTGTTTGTCGAACAATAAATAATACGTCGTTCAGAAACTCCAGAAGCTTACAGATATTGGCCTTCAGAAAAAAAATTCATATTATTTTGAGAAAATGTCTCCTCCCAGGGACCGCCTATTGAAATTTGATATCATTTCGATCATTTTTTGGCAAGTTTCAGCGGTTCGAGTGACGCTGCGTTTGTTATCTAAATGCAGCCTTTTGAACTCACAGCATTGGCTTGGAACTCTTCTCTGTTAAAAAAAATGCTTGATTGGTGATTTGCTGATTTTTAGCGAGATCACACGATCATCGACAATGCTGAACGCTGTGGACACTCAAAAAAAGTGGTTACAGTGGAAAATAACGGAGCAAAAAACTTATGTCACAAGTCGATCGATCCAATGCGAAAATTGCGTGAATCGAACTTGGAATTGCTGCTCTACATTTGCTATACGTTTGCATCGGAGCGTCTATTATCTACCAGTTGGTAACTCTCTCTGAAAACGACGATCCGAAGAGAGAGATTAAAATCAAATGATATGCATATCGCAGTAAACGAAGCGTATTTTGAAGAATTCGCTAAATCCTTTTATAAAACGGGGGCTTAGAAATATTTGAGATACATTGAACGTTAATTGGATCGACTATGATGTCGAATAAAATCAAAGTTAAAAAAAATAATTTTTTTTTTGCATACTTCATCTCGATGTAATATAACGTCGTTCAGAAGATCGCATTATAGCGTTCAGACATTGGAATAACGATTTTGTCTTAATGTACTCATGTACTCATCATACCATCTTTGCATTAATGTTAGATCATTTGATTTATTATTTAACTGGAAACTGTTATCATTATCAGGTCATTACTTCTGGTGGTGTGACTTATAAAAACGAGCCTTGGCATCGTGAGTGCTTTACGTGCACCCATTGCAATATTATATTAGCTGGTCAGCGTTTCACCAGCCGCGATGAGAAACCCTATTGTGCTGAATGTTTCGGTGAACTGTTCGCTAAACGCTGTACATCGTGTGTTAAGCCCATAACCGGTAAAATATGTTGCACAATTTTTATTCGCTCTAAGACGATCTTCTCTAATCTAATTTTATATATATATATATATTATTTTATATACAGGTATTGGCGGCACTCGTTTTATATCATTTGAAGATCGTCACTGGCATCATGATTGTTTCGTTTGTGCCAGCTGCAAGACAACTCTAGTCGGTCGTGGTTTCATCACCGATGGACCCGATATCATTTGTCCTGAATGCGCCAAGCAAAAATTAATGTAAATCTTTCAAAAAAAAAATAAAGAGAAAAAAAAATAAAAACAAAGAAAAAAAAAAAAAAGAGAAAGAGAAAATAAACAGCTTCTATTAAATGCAATGTTGGACGCCAGACCGAAGAGACGCGAACATGCCAACAGAACATTAAAAAAAGCGATATGTAATCAAATATAGAGCAATAATTAAAGCATAATTGGAAATCGATCGAGAAACAAAAATTCTATTAGATGAGAAACAAAAAAAACAAAAAAAAACAAAAAACATATTCTGACAGTGAGGCTGCTTTAATTAAAAAATCACAAAAGTGCTTAATTAGCTAAACTGATGCGAAATGATATAAAAAGTAAAATGTATCTTTATTTTTTTCTTCCAGTTTTTTTTTTTTTTTTTCAATAATTTTTGTTTCTTAGTTTTTGTCAATAAAAACAATCAATTAACAATTAATTAATATAAAATTATCGTTTAAGTTTCTTGTTTTTAGTTGTTTTATCTATTTTTTTTTAATTTTTTTTTTTTTTTTTTTTTTTGTGTGTATATTTTGTTTTTTTAATTTAGTTGTTACTTGAAAAGCAAACAAACTACTCTTGTCTTTAATTCAAAACTACTTTCAATACGATAGTGATTTGGTTTACATTTACATTTATTTTTATAAGCTATAAATAAAATTTCAAACACGTACATTTACACACACATATATATATATGCTCACGCATACACCTACATACTCGCAAACTTGCACACAAAAACACACTGAAAATGATAACAAATAAATAAAACAACAATAAACTATGAGTATACCGCGTCCAATTTCTTGTTATATCTAATGGAATAAAATAATAAAAAACAATAAAAAACAATAAAAAAAAAGCCGAAACATTTTTTAAACTTTATTGATTTAAAAATAAAAACTGCACAATCAAATGGATAGAACACAAATATTTTCTAATTATTTTATTTGCTTAGAACAGATTTACTTTTGCTTAATCCTATTAAAATCATTGTATTACTAATTATATATGTTTAAAAAATAAAACAATTTGACCGCAATTGTATTTACAAAAACAAATAATAATAATAATAGTAATAATAATAATAATAATAATAATAATAATAATAATAATTCAATAAATGCATTATGATTGAAACTACAATAGCTGAACATTACTTTCGCCTAAACAGGGGCGATCTGCAGTTATCAGATCTGTAAGTAATCAAGTTTCCTTCTCTTATCATGACTATCACGCTCAAAAATTGCCTAATGCAACAAATGTGCGACATGAGCAATCATCAAAAAAAAACTCTTATACACGAAATTCTTTGGGCAGAAATAGCTTTCTATGATGTGGTGGCAATGTTTTAGATCAGCTAATAACACTGGAATTAACTCAGATAATGTATATCATATAATTAATTATCTGAAAAGCGTTATTAAGAAATTATTAAAAAATATATAGCTTAGCTTGTCTCATCATCTATCACGCTATCAGCTAATCGTAAAAACGAACTAAAATTAATCTATGCCTTCAGTTACGATCACCAAGATTCGGAAAATTCGAAACCTACCCATTAATGCTATGTGCACATGTGATCATCCATACATCACACTATCATATTAATATATACTCTTTGCATATTTCGCGTTCAATGACAATCAACTTATATCAAACATTATTATATAAAGAAATTTTTATTGATATTATAACGAGTATCGCGAGTATTCGATTTGAAATTTGATAGATCAACACAACTACACAAGTGCCTAAATTTTGTTGAAAACGAAATCGCCCAAAATATCGCAAGAGGCAAAGATTGTGTCGACGCTTATCCGTGGGTGTGGTGGTAAACAATTTTTTACCAAGTTTTACTGGCTTATCTTGTCAACAATACTTCCCATCTATAAGCAAAAGTTCTTCTCATCGTACAGTTCGCAATTACCACACTTTACATACTCATGTTTTCCTTAATTCTCCTATTCCTATCATGCTTTCCTTGATCCTCAGATCCTGTTCCTGCAAGTGACATAAAAAAGATTAACAAAGTCATTGTTAAAGCTATAAAAGGGGTAATTAATATGGGGACATTGGGAAAAGCATGTAAAAGCCAAAATATTGCTATTAGAAGCGGAGGCATTAGAAGCAAAATTAGCAAAAAGGCACAATAGGCACTCAGGCACTGAGCCTGAACTAAAAGGATGACTCGACGAGCAACTAATCAAAGGAGGGGAAGGCATTCCAATGTAATGTCGACGGAAACGAAGAGACCGCCAGACGAATGATGAATGCACAACGGTTAAGGAACGTGGCTTGGATTGAAATATATCGCTTGTCGCTGTCCAATAGCAGCAAAAAGAAAAGACATCAAAAATGGGCGGGATAGAGCCCAGAATGGTATCAAAACTTATCGTTAAAGTTCGCCAATCAAAAGCAGGAAAAACAACCGGTGACGGGAAAATAACATTCTTGAGGAGAGGGTCGAGGAAAATTATTCAAATGATTTTGGAGGAAAAAGGAGCAGACTTTCCCTCTGCTATCGATACTAATGAAAGGAAATGCGACAACAAACCAAACAAACCAATTTGCGCTGCCGAAATCGAACGGCTACACCATCAACATGAAAGAATACTGGAGAGGGGTCAAACCGAGATTACCTTTGCGTCACGAAAAGCGTAAAAAAAATCGAACAGAAACTCTAACAAGAGCAGAATATCAGAAATCAGTACCAGCATGGATTCATGTTTCAGCCCAAGCATCAGCCTTTATGAACCGCATCATTTCTTTAATCACTTCTTATATAAGTTCTAATTTTGAAAAAGCCGTTACATGAAAACAATTTTTTGTCATATTAAATTGATGTAAAAAATTTGAATCCAATGGTCCAACTTTTCAAAATCTCCCGTATAATCGATAAGTACTATAAGTGCACCTTTTCATGACAATACAGACTAATTATTATAATTTTATCATAAAAATTAGTGGCTTACGACAATTTGGCATAGAGATAAACGAAGAGAAAAATATGAAGAATACGATCTGTAACAAGAAAACTCATTTTTCGATTGTATTAACCACATCTATGCACAGTTTGTCTCTCGACTAGATAACGGTTGCCATAGATAGTGTGCTATGCGCGGGAACTAGATCAATATTTTTCCGCAACATTTCCCATAATTCATAAATGATCCTGTGAGCAGATGAAAGTCCCATTTTAAAATAAAGGGCGCCGTACTATACACTTACATCATGGGGGGAACATCTAAACAATCGCAGTCCGTATACAAGTACTTATTCACGATATAGATAATATACGCGTACACAAGTACAAGATAAGTCGTACTTGCAACGCCTTCCAATAAGTTTATATAAAAAATTACAAACATTGTAGATTCATCTTAGAGTGTTTCAAATTTTTAATGGTCATGCGGCTATATTTATTCAAACGCTAATGCAGGTTTGGGAAACCGATCTTGTCCAATATTGTCTGTTTCATGCTTGCGATCAATCAATTCTTTTCTTTCACTTAACTCTATCAGCAAGAAGAGATGTTTCTCCTTTATTCTTACGTATTTAGTACTTGCGGTCTAAAAAGTCGTGGCAGTGATGTTACCCATTTGGTGATGGGGAATAATAAAGTCAGACTGACCAGATAAATAATAAAGTTGCATTCACGTGTCATACCACATTATCTGAAAAGAGAAAATGTAAACAACTAGCATATGACTCGAAGAGTAAATGTAAAGAAATCGACATAATATATAATAAAGATAAACAACGAAAATAAGCTTTTTGATTAATTAACGATATAAAGAATTAAGAAAAATGAATTTAAAACCAGAAGCATGAAATGAACTTTTAATATATTTTAAATATCTGCATGAGTAGCCTGTCAACCAAGGGATCACGATTAAGAACTCAAAGATCGAGGTTTCAAAGCTCATAGGTGGTAGAGTTTTCAATACAGGCGAGCATATGATCTAAGTTTTCCAATAGCCTTTAAATCCGTACTTAGTAAATATATTTGCAAAATATATATGCATTAAATAAATCAAATAAATGTATATTAAAATGGAAATGAATCGTTTTTATTGCTCGTTTTCCATGTCTTCTATGTAGATTAGACTAAAATTTCAAATCAAATAATATGAACACATATCACAGTTAGTAGAGAGTAAACATAAATTTAAAAAAAAATCTTCCTCACAATTTCTTTTAACATATTTTTCTTTCTATTTTTAGTTAAACATATAGAAGTATACATACAAAATCATATATTTCCAATTCGTATAAAGCTTCATGCAAGGCTGAATTTTTATCTCGAAAAACGTGATTACGCTCCATTGTATTGGACACTTAGTTTTTTAATGTAATCCCATAAAATCCCATAAGAATGTATTTGCTTCATGTTATGAACCTGTTTCATGGCTTGGCAACTCTAAGTTAGTGCATGTGTTGGCTAAGTCTATAAAATTTAATAATAAGAAGTATATATATAAGCGAAATTTCACGATTAGAATAAATTTTATACAATTATCTCTGCTATTGTGTCGTTTATTTCATAGAAAGAGAAACTCAATCAATTTGTTAACCATGGTCTTGGCTGAAAGCGAAAAGGTAATTATTCTTTTCTCCTCCTATTGGCACAGCTTTAAGAATAATGGGCCATTTCGATCAGTACATATATGCATGCATGAGTGTTTGTAATTATAATGCATTTTGTGATGCAAAAATAAATCAATTTTTTATTGCCAAAAATAGCCGTTTCTGTTGAAACCGCGTGAATGGCTGTGCATAAGAACTAAATATCTAATTGTCCAATTTTCTGTAAAAATATCTTCGTTTCATACCCGAACCGCAAGAGAACATTTTTACATTAACAATTGTTTAGTTACTATTATTGTAACTGTTTTTATTTGATAGGCAGACGGACTACCGTTGCGATCACTCAACGTCAACGTAGTAAATTTAAGAAAAGTTTAAAAGCTCGCAACAGTTGGCTTCATGAGATATTAAATAATTGAAAATTGTTATGATTTGGTTTTTTTTTTTTTTTTTTTTGGTTTTGGAATAAAATAAATATTATTTATTAAGCTTTTATATTATTCCATTTTTTTTAAAAAAAAAAAAAAAAAAAAAAAAAAAAAAAAAATATATGAAGCTCTTATAATGTTAAGTTCCGAACATATATTTAGTATAATCTATAAGCAATTAACGAAAATATTTCAAAAATTTCAGTATATATGAGATTGCTGTACTTATCCGTTGTGAGCATATTTGTTTTTGATGAAAGGCGATCGTGGATAGTGATTCGTCGTAACTCAAGTTTGATCAAGATTGTGTGAATTGCATATCTCTTTGAGGCCAATTACTTATTTTCAGTATTGGGAAATAGAATTGTAATCCGATCGTAAATTTTCCGTTCCGTTTAGGATAATTCAAAATACATTTCATTGATATACACATGAATATTAACAGATATATATGTAAGTGAATTATTTGGAAACTTACTCAGCTTACTTACTTGTGTTCACTTACTTATTTAGTTACTTATGTTTCAGTAAATTATATGCTTTTACTCCGAGTTGTGCCTATTATCAAACGAAAATGCAAAATTCCATGTAATATGTAAAATGTGTTTATATAAAGCATATTTTCTATGTACAACTAACTGACTGTAAGCTGTAAGCTGTAAGGTATTCTTTATGTCGATCCAATTCTATGTGTCCTTCGTTTGTGTGTTATAGGGATTTTTGAGGTTGCGACAAATGAGAAAAAGACTGCAATATTTCATTATCGGATTCAGTTTTAAAGTGGTGTTATTTATTGCAGTCAAAATGCATGCTCACAAACGCTCGAACAGTGTAACAAGTTTCGAAAAATCTTCCCTTGTCAAAGTTTCCCAATCGTGAAAGTGGACAAGTACTTGTTAATTAAATTATTTGAAAAAGTGTTTCGGTCTGTAGTGATTCAAAACACTTCTATAGGTTTTTTTTGCAAACTACACAAAAGTTGCCTGTTGACTTAGAAAAATCTCGATATGCTGTGGTTTGTTTAATGTTGTACTTTACTCTAATAATATTCACAAAATTTGCTTATAAAGTTATTGTTGGAGTAGAAACTATTATGCACCAGTTTTTTATTCACTCAAACGTTTGCTTTTCGTATAGAAAGTGATCAAAACGTATAAATGAGTTACTAATCAGTTCTAGATGTATGTAGAAGCATCCCAGAATTTTTGCAGATTGTAGCAAAGTTGTATCAATGCTTTTGATTAGCTTGTATCGCATATGGAGTTGTGGGAACTTCTCTTATTATACCCACCACTATAAGATGGAGGTATACTCATTTTGTGTTTTTTCCATAGTATGTGTAACACCCAAAAGGACCCTACAAAGCATATATATATTCTTGATTTAGCCAAAAATTAAGACGTCGACTTGAAATTTGATAGAAACATTGCAAGTTTCTGTAAGCAAGATGGTATTGAAAATGGGCCAAGTTGGTCAGAGCAGAAGCGCCCAGTGAAATTTCTTAAATAATTTATTCACTTTACTAAGTCTCAAGAATTGTTATAAGAAATATTTCAAATTGCAAAGAAATTGGCATTCAAAATTATTGCACATTGTCTGCCCGGTGCCGCAAGGTGTCGCAAACTCCGAAAATGTAATGCCAATATATAAAAGGATTTGAATAATTCTCCTATTTCGAGAAAGCGTTGCAATCGACTTGGAAATTGTAATTTTCAAATAAAAAAGAAGAACTTCGATATTTAGCGTTTGAAAGCACTTTGAAACCTTATTTGTAACATCCGCCAGGTTTTGCTTATGACAACGCTAGACCATATGTCGCTTAACAGTCGCTGAAACGACGTAGATGGGTCAATGAAGGAAATTTTTTCAAATTCAAAATAATGAAAATTCAAAATAAATACTTTTCGTCACTTTCTTAACATGAAAGTCAAGTAACGAAAAATCTACGGAAAAGTTACAAGCCAAAGTAAAGGATTAGTTCGTACAAATTGATCAATAACTGTTATTTCATCTGATTTGACATCGTGAATGGACTTGTGGAATCAACAAATGTCTGCTTATTTAGCAGTCAAGCGAATAGCGAATAGCATGAAGTGGATAAAAACAAGTGCCCGACCAGCACGAAACAGTCACTAGTTATGAATTATTAAAAAAAAAAAAAAAAAATTCATTGCCGTTATCGTTCTTCAAAGGTGGTCTTCAGCTATTTACAACAAACTTCAGCTGAACAGGACTTTGGCATCCATGTCTTCGATACCAGTTTTCACGATTGAGGATTCCGGAAGCGATCTAAACCGTAAAGTTTATAGTGATGAGGTCCCAAATGCGTACATATTCATACGCTTACGTAAACATCTATGTAAAATTTTGTTTTTCGTACAGAAACAAGCATTCTTCCTTGTCCTTATATGCCGCCCGATTGATATTTATTGTACAGGTTTATTTTAATAATTCTGCGCAGTGTGCAAAAGGGCTCTAATTGAACTAATTATTTTTGCTTATTACAGTCACATCGCAACGAGAAGGATGGGCTAATAAATTGTTTAACATATAACCAAAAATTGTTGTGTGTGTGTGTGTGTGCTACATTTTTTAATGATCATCATTATATACATTCGTATATATAAGCACCTATATGCACCCTATATGCTCGCAACAATAGACAATGCAAACGACAAATATTTAAAACATGTAAAAATGGCATAGTGGGCCCCGACCTATCGCTAAATATCATATAATACACTACGCTTAATATATTTATTCATTGTATGACGACTTTTCAAAATAAAGCATTATATGGGGAGTGCTCGAAAAAGTCCGCTTCCAATCATTTTCAATAATATTCGTCCTTGGGCCAAAACGGATGAACAAGCTTGGTATAATTCTTCAGCGACATCAACCGCAGAAACTTGGTACACCATTATGCCACATGTGTAGTGCAGGATATAATAGCACTGGGGGGCCACCTAATGGCTAATTATTTTGAAATGAATTTTGCTTCCTTGAGTAAGCATATCATCAAGATGACTACTAATCACGCAGAACAAAAGTACAGCCGGACGGATATCTGCAGACAGATAAACGTGGCAAGATTGAATGCATTATTTAGGATGACGATTGCATTAGGAGAGGGCAGGCATTAGGACGACGACAATCGCTCACAAATCTTCGGTGGTTTTTTGGAGAAAATAAGTCCTTGAATTCGATGGAAATACTTTTGTTTTAATGAGCATAATTCCACTTTTTTTTAAGAATATTAATGCAAGAGTAATTTGACATTCGAAGGTCGTTCTTGAGCATAGAAGGATATTTATTTGTCCACGTCTGATAGGTATCGTGTGCAACGTGCGTCTGAAGAGTTGCGAGCACATGATAAAGGTCTAACTGTATGTGAAATGATTTGCATGTGTCGACGCAAACTGGCCAGCTTTCCATATTGTATTACAATTGCAACAAGCAATTCCACCGACCCGATATTGACGCACATTCCTTAACTACCTCACTAAAATACCTGCTTTTGATTATTATTATCCAATATCGCTATCTACAAAGTTATTAATTAAAAAAAAAAAAAAAGAAGCAAATTGTGTTTCCACTCGCGGTTGATTGCTACTACTTTTGCTTAACATGAGGTACAATTTGGAAAATCTGAGATAATTTTCGCTAAAAGTCTCTATTGTCTGCACTTAACTGGACATGTACATATATACCTATATATGTAAGAGAACTATAATCAATTTTTATATAGATTTCTATTATAAAAAAAGAATATTCTACGAATCGTTACATAAAAATGTTATGTTATTACCATGTTATGTTAGACGTTTCTATGATGTTTTCTGTGCCTTAATCCAATTTGCTCGTTATTTAAACCTACGGAGATTTCGAATATATTAACTTCGTCACTGCAAATGTGTGTGTCTCGTTTAAAAATACAATTGAAAGGCGTTCACGTCCAAGCGCCTAAGTCCGCACATCTACTGTGCCGTCCACTACTATGCATATGTATGCGAATAGTTAAAAAACAGAACCAATATGAGAATAAAACTAAAAATGATCATTAACTTTACGAGTCTAATAGATAACGATCGGAGCTTTGTGTACGTAAAAGTGATATACGTACATATGTAGTAAAATGGCCACGAATAGGAAAAAGAATTTTTCAAGTCTTACATACATTATGTACGCGCTCGCTCATATCAGCCAGTATGCAACAAGACTCGTTCTCAAACTCTCATTACAATGCGCTACAGCGCAGGTAATTGCCTTCCTTCATGTATGTCCGTTAATTCCTTTCTTTCCGTTAGTCGTTGACTTTTACTGTTACAAATCTCAATTAATATATGCTCTCTATGCACTCATCAATACACTTAAGCAAAAACCGAATTGATAAAAATAAGATGGAATCCTTGAACAAAGATGCAATAAAATCAATCGACATCTTCTAATATACTTGCAACATAATATATATATAAAATTGATGGATAGTATTTTTGATTTGCGAAGTGCGTGTTAAAGAAAACAAACAAAAACAAAAAAAGAAAAAGCAAAATATAAAGAAGAAAGGAACAAAGTAAAACTTCACTGTATTTTCATATTTCGTGGTACAACATATGTATGCACATACATATTTTTTATTTTTTTTTTTTTTTTTTTATGTATATGTATATGTATACAAGTAGGAAACTTATGCGTATGTTTGTGCGCTTGTTTAACTTCTCTTTGCTGATCGCTTGAATTAAGTTTGAGTAAAATATTAACGTCTGTCTATACGCTAATATGTGTGATTGTGTATTTAGTATAGTGAATGCCCGCATTCCAGTGAGCAATAATCTCTGCAATATTTACTCGTTTATGGAGTGTTAGTACGAAAGCAGACACCACTCTTAAAACACGTCTCAGCAAGCCAAATGGATTTGCGCGTTGAGAAAGTCTACTGACTGGGAAATCACTGGAAAACCAACCTTACTTACTTACTTACTGTGCTTGAAAAGCAAATTTACTTGCTTCCAAGTTTGCCTTGAAATTTTCATATCAAATGAAAAAACTTATAAATACTTTTGTGATTTTTATAAAATAAAACTTTCGTTTAACTTCAGTTTGTTTCGTTATAAAAAATTTTTTCTCTCAAATAGCCCTCAAAAATACATAAATAATTTCGGATATTTGAAAAAAGACGAAAATTTGTGAAAGCAGCACGAGCAACAGCGAATAAAGCCAGCAATATTTTTATATATACATTCGTGAGGAAAATCTTTTAAAGAGGAAAATACACGTAAAGAAAACGCAGCAAACGAACATAATCGGAGGCTGAGAAGATCAGTAACAAATCAACGAGATAAAGCAGAGTAAAGGGAGCTGAGAAGGAAATAGGCCAACTTTTTTTTGTATTGGCAAGCAACCCTGTTTGCAAGCCAAAGAGCTTCGTTTACTTAGCACCAATTTTGGGATCAATCACAGACTATACGGGGGAATCCGATTTTACCCGATTCGTATACGACAGATCTGCAGAATCCACCATATACCGTTGCTTGCTACTCATTACGAATATCAGTTTGTCTTTTGTTTTTCTTTGCTTACACTAATTTTGTGGAGAGAATTTATATAATACTCTCCGCTCTTCTTTCCGCGTGAAAGGCAAAGAAGCGTTTGTTTGTTTTCTGTTTTCTTGTCGTTCATATACACCACACCCCACGAAAACTTTACGTACCTTTTGTTATAAAAACAAACCGAGCATCGCTTACGATATCTCCGTTTTTTTTTTTTTTTTCTTTTTTTTTATTTGATTTCATATTTGTGTCATGATGTTTCAAAGCGACTTTCATAGAAAGAAAAATTTTGCAAATCCCAATCTGTTCAACGTAAGATAACGCTCAGCAAATATTAACTTTTTTTTTTTTAATTTTTCTAAATAAAGGACAATGTGTTTGTCTCTCTTATATCTTTAGAACTCTAATCCACCGAAGGAAAATGGGCCTGCGGCCCAGCCAGCGTCAACTGCTGGTCGTCCCGATAATAAGGAAGAAACTAAAGAACAAGAAGAGGTTCGCACAGAACACTTGCTTAAGCATCCGTTGCAGAATACCTGGACCTTGTGGTACTTGGAAAACGATCGCAGCAAATCCTGGGAGGATATGCAAAACGAGATCATGAGCTTCGATACTGTCGAAGATTTCTGGAGGTAATTAATCGCCTTTTCTCTCATAGAAAATAAAGATACGAAAAATAAAAATACGAATCAAACTTTTTCAGCCTCTATAACCACATTAAACCACCATCTGATATTAAGATTGGCAGCGATTATTCGCTGTTCAAAAAGGGAATTCGGTAATGTTATACAATTCATTGCTACGCATATATATATATATATATATATAAGTATAGTAAAATAATACAAAACAAAAAACAAAATTCGTTTTACAGACCTATGTGGGAAGATGCAGCTAATAAAAAAGGAGGCCGTTGGGTTATCACTTTAAATCGTAGTCCTAAAACTGAAGTCGACAATTTATGGCTAGATGTGGTAAGTGATTACAATACGATTATGAGCACACTAAAAGTTCGTATCTATCTACCTACGGTCGCCGTTAACTTTGGGACACAAAGATAATTGTCATTCAGTTTCCGATTGAAAGCAGCCCCCCGGAACATATGTACACTTTTTTTTTGGTACGAAATTGCCCGTCTGATTTTTTAGTCGTTTTATAAGCTGTATGTTTCATGCATATGTGTACGATGGGATTCGGAGGTTTCTAAAATTTGAGAAAACATTAAATTGTTTTCGTCAATTCGGCTGTATGGGCACCGATATTCTTAAATTCTATAACAATATCACGTTATCGATTTGCATCTTGGCATCGCGCCCATTGGCAATGTCTAGCCGATTGTCTAGCATATTCAAAATTTCAGATATCTTTTTTTTTGTATCTTAGAACAGCCGCTCAAATTTAATCATAATAAATAATATCATAATATTTTGTCTTTGTTTTCACCCAGCTTTTATGTTTAATTGGTGAGGCTTTTGATCATTCTGATCAAGTTTGTGGTGCTGTGGTCAACATACGCAACAAGAATAATAAAATTTGTAAGTTTTTCAAAAATCAATTTTTTTTTGCGTACACAAAGGTAACTGTTTTTAACTAAATAGCTATTTGGACTGCAAATGGCGATAACAAAGAAGCTGCATTGGAAATTGGCCATAAATTGAGAGATGCCTTGCGTTTGGGTCGTCAAAATTTACAATATCAACTGCACCAGGATACGATGGTAAAAACCGGATCAAATGTCAAATCTATTTACACTTTGTGAACGGCCTAAAACCACCATCCTTCAACAATCAATCAACCAACACTCAATTCTTTATAGATTAAATATATGCTTTTGAAGCATGTTTTCAACATCAAAACAAGCAAGATAATCAAAGTCGCATTATATATCGACACGTGCAAACCCCCTTAGAAATTTATTTTTCATTCATTTATGCTGCATCGATGTACGCTTTTCATATGTTTGTAACACTTGTCCCTTGTGGCTAATTAACTATACATACGCAAGCTGGATAAAAAAAAAAAAAAAAACATGCAAAAATCTATAGGGAAAATCACACAATTAGTTTTTATTTTCTTTTCAATACAAGACTAACATCATTATTGTACTTTTAACACATAAATCGAGAAATCCAAGAGAAGTATTCTTTTTGTTTATTATTTTGAAAATTCACACCATATACACACGCTTTGGCCCCCAAACACAAGAAAAACTATAACATATATATATTAAATAATCACCACACAACTTGCAAAAGCATTTGTTTGTAAATTAATAAAATACAAAAAGATTATTTTGAATGGATTTGGGTAAATTCATTTATAAGTTATATAAATAACTTATAAATAGGACATGATGTCTTCCACTTTTCTCCGTAAATCCTTTCGACGGCAGGCTTCCAAAGCTCGACAAAGCTGAAGTGCTCGTCTGTTTGGATCGTGAACCACATCCTCTTCGAAGGTTTTTAGCATTTCCTGTACCCGACAGTTCAGATCGCGCGGGTATTGAACTTCGATTGCGTCCATTGTGCCTTGAGGTATATCAAGTTCTCGTCCTAAACTACGCCAAGAATGTCCTATGTTGCTGGTAATTAATTTGAAAATGGCTGTTCTTTTTTTTTCAAATGAACTGGCATCATGCTGCGTGTAACATTTTATAAGCTTATCATGGCAATTTGTGGCTGCAGCCTGCCCTGTCTGTTCCAAATTGCCATTGTTTATCTCCAATTTATTCCTAAATTCTTCAGATAATCTTTGCTCACGATATATGTTGCGTCCCGTGAGCGTATCTCTCGGCGAAATATAATCAACTATTGCCCTCTCTAAATTGCCGCCACAATGATCAGCAATTTCTCTTAAAGGTTCAATATTCCATTCTGATAAAGAATCGTTTCTTTCAAGATAATCTATAAGGTCTTTGACAGTTTTTATACGATCCATATTTCGATTGGATCGAATCTCATTTCGAAACATATATTTAATCTCTTCTAACTTCAATTGCACCAATTGATCACTGACCGTTATGCTTTTAAGCAATTCGTATGATCTATTATTGCAAATATCTACCATGTTTATCAACAAAAATCTAAAATTTTATGCTTACACAAAAAATTAAAGGAATATAATTACTTTGCATTCTTCTTCTTTTTATACAACAATTCACTTCACTTTGACGATTTTTCAATTCATAAGGTAAATCGCATTAACAATTTTTATTCCCATTTAAAAGAAACCATATATGGATAATGGGGACAAAACTATTAGACATGGTAGCCTTGTGTCAAAATGGATTTCATTTGTGGAGTATTAGAATAATGTCCGTAATATTTACGAGTGAAAACATCACCGTACATAGATTAACTTTGGCTTTGTTTCGTGTAAAAATAAATAATACAATCGACATTAGCAATTTGTTTATGAAATCAGTTTAAACATAAGCCAATTAAAAACACATGAGAGAGAGAACCTGTAATGCTTTGTTCGCGTTCGTGTGATTATTTGTGTACTTATTATTTATTTGTAAAACTTGAAGTGGAAAAAGAAAACGGAGTGAAAATTTTTTTTAGATTAAAAGTTTGTATGTGATATTTAAACGGGTACATACATATACCGTAAAGCTTATTTATGGAAAAGGGAAAAATTGCAAACGCTTGAGAATAATGTTTCTTTGTCCACTTATTTTCCAATTATTTGTGTTATCCCGTAGCATACAGAAATCAAATAAAAGTTGAATAAAATAAAGTAAAGCAATACGTATCAAAATGCTTGCGTCCTTTGGATATATAAATGTTTCTCATGTTTATTTATGACGCACAAAGATAAAAACAAGAAATCATTAAAAGCAAATATCGCAGCGGGCATCCTTTATCTCGTAAAGTCCACAAGAATTCGCATATTCAAAATACTGTGCGGGGTCTTCTTTTCACGTGAAGGACATTTCAAATAATCTGTCATCCCCATATTGGAAAATGTTCATTGAGAGAATAACAATTCTGCTGCTATATATATTGAGATATCTAAATATTAACTGAATGTGTCTCTGAATATTTCGAAAGAAAAGTAGCTGAAAAAATGTATTTATTTATTTATTTTTTTTTTCATTTTCCCAACGCCAGTAACAGATGAATTCGAAAGATACGATTGAAGAAATCAATAAATAAACTTTCACTTGCTTTGATTATTTCAAAACAATGCCCTGCGATAACACAACAAAAACGTCTTCAGATATAGAACATGCTGATTGGACTACTGGCACAAGCCAACATTACAATGTGAGGTAAATTTGTTTGTTTGTTTGTTTTTTTTTTTTTTTTTCTTTTTAATTAGTTATTAAGCGTTAATTCCGCAATTATTTCAAACGAATACAAGATGAATCACTATTTTAATCTGTTTTACACATCCACAGACCACGATATAAATATCATCGTCATTACTTATATTTGTAAATATTTATAAATGTACATATTATATGCGTATCGTATATATTATACATATATTCATTCACGTACCTAATACACTCTTTAATAAATATATAGCACAATTGCGTGCACTTTTGATTTGAATCGTTCCGTTATATCGGGAAATTTAATATTTTTGATTCCATTTTTTTTTTTTTTTTTGTAAATTATGAAAACAAACATACTATTTATTTCTTGAATAGGTATATCCTTCAGTAAATGAATATTCTTTCGTTCTATACGCATATTTAAATGCAGATCATGCACAATATCGAATGATGATTAGAAGAGTACGTCAAAAATATTCTGAAATAGATTTTTTGAAAATGAAAGATTCAACCAATTATTGATGTTCAGAAAAGCAATATCAATCATATGTCACATTCAATCAATATATGTGTGTAACCATTATTTTGCTGAACATATCAATTAACTAGCAATCATTCTTCTGATGATGATGATAATAGAACATTACTCATGATGTGCGTCCAGCTTATACATCATATATCACACTTATACATCGAGTTACTTTTGACCAGAGTAAGAAACTGGACGGAATGCTATACTACTTAACTTTAATAAAAGTAACAACAAAAATTGTACAATATTTTTAAAAGGATTCTGTATAGAACCAAAGAATCATAAAATAAACAACTGTGCATATATGCATATGTTGTAATCATTGTGTCACTGTTTTTTCAAAAAGCATATCTAATATGCGCATGAAAACCATATGAATAAATAAAGAGCTGAAGATGATCCGATCAGTTGAAGAGAGAAAATCACGCAATTTTAAACTTACACATTTCATAACATCCACTTGTCACCTGTTTTTTCCTAACTGTCTTCGCTATAATTGTCTCTCAGTAAACATGAAGTTTACGTATATCTTGTAATTTTCTTCGCTTCGCATTACAATGAAATGTAATAGCAGGAACACTGTGATAGAATATGAATACCTCGAGGGGCTTAGCTGCGAAGTACTCACTCTAACCGGATATTGTAGGAATGAATTTCTTATCAATGGCGAATTATAATGCGTGAGCGAGTAGTGCAAATTTTTTAATCGATTTTTATGCTTGCAATAAACTTTTTTATCGAAATATATAAAATTCTTTAACAAGCACTGCTCAACAAAACAGTCTGTTAACAGTTCTTAAATGATTTTGAGTTCTTCATATTCTTGTCCCTGTCACAATTGCGATTTCAAAATTTTGTTTAGCACGTTCACCCCAAATGTTAGCAAAGCAAAAGCCGACTACGACTTTTACGACTCGAGTTATAACTCGAGGATTTCTTTCTCTTCCTCAGATTGCCTTTTGAAATGGTGTTTACAGCATTGAATGTATTTTAAAATTTTCGTGAAAATTTCCAAAAGAAAAACAAGTGGAAAAATTATAATGGGCACAGCCCATCATTAAATATCCTACACCAACCTACATTGTACTATAAGCAAAATATACGATACAATGTGCAATCGATCCATCGTATCCAACTTTACTCTGCTATTTCACTTACAGAACAAACAACTAACACATTATGTTTGACGCTATGATGAATTTGCAATTCTCCCTTAACCAAAAGCGTTTCTAAAATTGAAAAATGGTTTTTTGTTTATTGACACGTGTCAAACTGTTAGTCGATGGAGGCAAATTGTGAAAATAAATTTCATCTCGCACATATTCCTAAGAGCATTAAATCGAAATTAACAATAAGTTATGGCTGGAGGTTTCTCTTTATTGCTTATTGATCACACGCGCTCTTGCATGGCACATTTGGCTACCTTGGTAAATATTTATTTCAAATTTTGCATCGATATATCCACTGTTATAGTGTGCAAGGTGTGTGTGAAAAGTTTTAGTTTCCTATCTCAGGGATGTATTCATCACTTGGTCATTTTGCTAAAACGTTTGCAACACCCACAAGAAGACCTTAGCAGAGATCTCATAAAATATATTTATATATATATATATTCTGGATCAGCACCGATGTCTGATTTGATGTAAGCATGTCTCCCTGTCTGTCAATGCAAAGTTCGTTGGCTTCAGTTTTGGCAGAAATTTTTAGAGATTCTTGTACGCAGTCTTGCATTGTCAATGATCAAAATCAGTCGAAAGATGCGCCCATAGTATACCTCAAATCTACAACATCTCTCTTTCATCCTAATACTAATGTAGCAATAGGTCATAGCATGCCTATTTCAGTGGTGGTTGCACATAGTCTATGCAAAAATGGGAAAACTCCACAAACACACACACACACACACACACACACATATATATATATATATATATATATATATATATATATACATACACATACACACACACATACACATACACTTATTCGAAAGTATTAAGTATTGAAATGCCATTTTTTGTGTTCCTTTTTTTCCAAGAAAAAGATGATAGCTATAATAAATTCGGCCATAGCCGAATATAATTGTCTTACTTATGCTGCGAGTAAACTGACTAAGAAGAAGTATTGCAAAAATTATTTTCAATATCGTAGACCCTTGTGACAGGTGATTATTTATTACGTTTGCCAATTCAACTAAGATAAGCACAATACTAAAAATGCGGAAAATAGAGAGGAAATTTTTTTTTTTTTTTTTTCGATTTCTAAGAAACAATTGTTTTTCATGTATTCGTAAAGCTCTTCGCATTCCGAATCCTTTACATTAGTGACGTTGTCTCTTCATTTTGTTCCATTTTTTTTTAAAGATTTGATTCGGCGAGTAGTCAAGCATCGCAGAGCAGTGGAGATATTTGTCGAATTTGTCATTGTGAAAGCGATCCCCAGAATCCGTTGCTAACACCATGCTATTGTTCGGGCAGCCTAAAATATGTCCATCAGGCGTGCCTACAGCAATGGCTGACTGCATCCGAAACGAATGCCTGCGAATTATGCAAATTCCCATTTATAATGCACACCAAAATCAAGCCCTTCAATGAGGTCAGTAAAAAAGTTAGTAATTTTTACGTATCAGCTAATGATAATAAATTATTCATCCATAATATTCACCCATACGCCTCCTTCCCATCTCCTTCCCATCCCTTTTTGTGCATAGAATAAAATCTCTCTAAAAATAATATGAACAAGTGTAATGACTTTGGTGTGTGCGATTATTTCATTGCAGTGGCGTAGCCTTGATATATCTGGTATCGAAAGAAGACGACTGTGCTGTTCGGTATTATTTCATTGCGCTGCTGCGCTATGCGTTATTTGGTCTCTCTGCGTGCTCATCGAACGGGCGGCTGACGACGTAAAGAACGGACAAATAGGTTAATATGATATACGCGCTTTGTAAACTTTTTGTAAACTGAAAGAATATACTTGGTTTTATGCGCGCGTTGTGAGATAACACGTCGCCTACTCCTTTCATTTATTTATTATTATAAATATTGTTTAAAAATGAACTCACATTACCGATTGCTGTAAACAAAAGGGGCAATGTAATGTTTCAAAATGTTCATATTGCATATATAATCAAATCTTTGCTTTATTATTATTTTTCGTAAATATATATATCACCAGATTGGCCTTTCTGGACGAAACTGGCAGTTGTTGCAGTTGGTCTGACCGGCGGTATTGTATTCATGTATATACAGTGCAAAGCGTATTTACACTTGTGCCATCGGTGGAAAGCAAGAAACAGGTGCGTGTGCGAGAGCTATTAAATGTATCTTTTTAAATTGCTTCTAATACATGTTCCCTCGGGCAGAATACTTCTCATACAGAATGCTCCGGAGAAGGTACATCCTCTTTCTCAACCGTCGCCCTTAGCCCAACAACGAGTTCGACATAGTTCCACAATTCAAGCGCACACGGCCAACGCTGGCCATCGTAGTGTGAATGTAAATATTGACGTTAACAATGGCAGTCCTAGACCACCAACAAGTGTTACGGATTACGCACCGGCAACTTTAGCGGATGTTGACGATGTGAGTGGCTCTTGTGTTAGACATCAACGTTATGAAAATCTGCCTTCATCACCTCATCATATGCTCCAGCATGCTGATCTAGATGTAGATTCTGTTGCCTATCACAACACTGCCGGTGTGCCGAGATCCCATGGCAAGCATCATTATCTTCACCATCAAAACATTGGTCATGGCCATCATATTAATGGGCATCAACATCAACACTCGCATTATCATACACAATTAGGGCAAGTGGCTGTGGCTGCTAACATTGAATGTTCACAGTCGCAAAATAATTACGAACGCGATTTCGCTCTAGACGATGTAGTATCCCAGATCTCATCGTTTCGACCATGTCCACAGGGTTCAGGAAGCATGACACCTTTTCATGACTCTATACATAACGTGCTCGAACACTCTGAGGACTCGAGTCGAGTATCCGTGAATGATTTGTGTGTAGGTTCACGGCAAGATTTAAGCGCTGACGGTTTATCTAGTGACACTGGACGTGAACACGCACTACAACTAAGCAGTTTCAGTGGTAAATAAATTTATTCTATTTGCATTAGAAAAAAATAAGTAAAAAAAATAAATAAATAGCTAATCCAAGACATATTAATAGGCAGCGGAGATCACAAAGCTCCTTCAATTAGTTCTGGAGTATCTCATGCGGTGGCTAATGGTTTAGGGGGATTTGTTTATAAACCTCACACCAAACGGTATTCAAACTCTTCAATATTTTTGGAAAATCGCGACATTCTCAATGATTCGGTTGCCATGGATTTAGATCTAGATAGTACCCCCTACATTAAACCTGATTACCGTCATTCTAGTATACTAACACCACCCGAAAGTGAAAGCGATAAACTTGAACAGTATATGGGTAAAGATTTGCGAAGATATTCGGATACAAAACTTTTGGGAAACCTTGAAAGCGATCCCCGAAATTCTACACATGAATGTAAAAATGAACTGAATGAAAGCGACCCAATAACGGCAAATTCCCATATGCATCCACTGTTAAAGCAACACTCAGACACGGCAAACGCGTCAAATGCTAAGGACGTAATGCTGGACGCAGCGTTGCCAATATCACCGCTTTCATCGTCAAGAATTCAACAAATTGAACGCCCGCTGTTATGGCATTCAATACAAACCGTCAACGTGGGACGAGGTATTGACACTATAACGACACCTTCAGCTCAACGACAAATAGATAAAGCCCGCTTCTTTTTCAAATCGTTGCCAAATCTAAGCAGCAGTTGTGAAAGCCTCATTAAGAAATAAGACACGTATATTATATATATATATATATATATTATATTATATATGTATATATATATTATATTATATATGTGATTTTGATCATTCATAACGCGAACAAAGCGAATGATCCTGATCTTCTTGCTTGAATATTAAACTTTAATTATTTGTTTTAGAAATTCTAAAGATGTGCTCGGCATACTAATTGCGTCCATTGTTAGGTTTTACTCTGTCTTTATATTCTCATTTTTGTTTTTACTATATTTTTTCTTTATATTTTGCTTTTCCAATCAATTTCAAAAGCATTAAATGATAATTATAAAATCTTATGAAAGTAATTAGTAGTTTAGCTAGAGCAAACATGCACATAAACGATTTTTTATATGCTTTCTTCATTTCATAAAAAACGAATGGCACCGTTTATGCATTACATATTTTTTTTTTTTTTTTTCTAAATTCATCATGCAGTATTTTTTGTTGTTTTGTTGTTTTAATTATAACAGAAAATTACGCATTGACTATTTTAAAAACTTTAAATTGCGTTTTTGCGTTTTTGTAAGCTTTTGCTACTCGCACGATATCAAATCGAATTGAAGCATTTGAAAAAATGGACATCATGCCGCAAACCATGTCTGAACGTAGTGAACATCTTATGGACTCAATAAATTGTATAAAACGTTGAAATATTATGCACACCCCTCTTAAATACTGCATACAAGATTCACATATTTTGGTTTTGGTTGATTCAAGATTCGACATAAGGCGGAACAGAAATCTTTAAATTCTCTTTACTACCTACCAATGCATTTCATTTATCTATCGGACATAAAAAGCAACTCGAATATTTATTGTTAGCAGTTTTTCAATGCCCTCGTGCGAACGTAGAAAAGATCAATAATCACTTGTAATCAATTCAGATAGTTGGCCATTTTTTTGAACATTTATTTGAATCATTTAAAATTTATTTTGTTCTAATAAGAAAAATTAATTGTATTTCAATTCTTTATGCTAACGTCTATGCAATGATGTTTTATACAGAATTAATTGTAAATTTTCTTATCGAATTATTACATGGATAACATGTCCATGTAAATAATAAATGAATATATTAATCTAGTTGTGATTATGTCTTAAGACGCATTCTGATAGGTCAGGTCAGGCCAAGTAAATTATTATCAACATTTTATTGGAATTTTTTTATAAATTAAGTTAAGTGAATTTTTGAAAAAGTAATACTTTCTCATTGTATCTTGGCTGTTGTACAACATCCCCCACGTCACGGAAATGCCATCTCGCTATCGCGGTCAAATATATCGAATAGAAAATTTTTCGGATTATCTCAGCAAAAAGGTTTAGAAGTGCACGGCTTCCAGCATAGCAGAAGCAAGAGTAGAAAAAATATATAGCGCTCGACTAGTGCAAAAAAATTAGCCGAATCCATGTCAAACAGACCTAAAATGATTATAAAGTTACCAGAGGCTGCACAAAAAATATTAATTTATAAAAAACAAATCTTTGACGGTGCTCGAGTTTGGTTTGTGCCTTATTGTTGTGACTCGTTGAAGTTTTTTTTGTTAATTTGATTTAATTTAGGAATAATGAATTCGAATTTTGTTTCCTCTTTTTGCTTAACGAACATGGAATCACCGAATCAAGTAACAAACATTTTGATATTATTTCGCTTTCGCTGAATTTTCCAACGAAATTTGTTTCCTACAGTGTCTGATTTTGGGTGGCAGGGATTGTATTTAATGAGGACAGTTGGAAGTATTTTTATAATTGAAATTGTACAAGTGGTACCATCATCCCCTTATTCCTTTCGACACGCTTTCAGACGCCTTCAGTTTTTCGCATATTATTCTTTCAAATTAAGCGAACGATAGTTGAGAAATTTAGATATTTTACGCGTTTGGTAGATTCATTACGAAACCAGCATATAACAATCCAACGCTGCTTCTCTGACGTTCTTGATTGCGTTACTTTCATGCATTAATTTTTTTCGATATGTGAAATGAATTGTCAACGATTTTAGATCATTTTGCTTATGTTCTTCTTTAAGTTGGCAGAATTGATAGCACACTGACTCTATTATTATTGCTATTTGTTTTGCGGTAAAGAAATCTATTTAGAATCAGTCGGTTCAAGAAGAAAAAAGCGATGTATTGTCGCCTTCAATAGCGAGCTATAGCACGGTTTGAGATAGGGCGTCCTTATTAGATTGTGGGGCATTATATATCGATGCTTACGAGAAAACGCTTCGCCACGACCAACAACTTTAATTCTGGTAATTTCAATCCGCATACATCGTCGCTCTCAAAGAAGAGACCTTTAAAACAGCCTGGCCTTAACACTTTTCATACTTTCTCACGATAATTTCCCATATATGAGACGCATGCCGAATTGTTGAAACAACTTGCCAGTAAAGATTTGTTGGATGGATACATTGTTGAAACTGTTTTTACATTCAAAACCGACGTTATAGTTAATTAAAAAACGCTTTACGTACATACACACATGAAATCTTACGGCGTCTCAGGGCTGCATAAAAGGGGAGCACCTGCGTTTTTTAGAGTGCTTGTCATTGACCTTTCGTAAACTATATATTTTATCGTATTGCGACTGAAAGAAATGAGAGTACATGGCAAACTCATCGATCTTCACTATGACAATATCGGGAGTTAGTCTCATAAACGAGAGTCTGCTTCTGCCGGTTAATTTATAATTGTCGCCTCAGCTGCCTATGCTTATTATATTGCAGATGATTTTATCATACCCTTGCGCTTGTCAACATCAAATTTCAATGAAAATGATGGGATTATTGCGGGTTTTCACTTCATCTTAATAATTCATAAATATTAATTAATGTATATAGATCGAGTCAAACATATGTATATACGCATTCATTTTTAATTTTTAGATTGTGTGACTTATAACTCGAATGTGCAAAGAACGTAAATAAATAATACAGTGTAAAAAAAAAAACACATTGATGCATAATAAATACTACCTAGAGTGAGATGACTTACATGCATGACACGCCTATATTTCTTTACTCGTTTTACTATTAACGCACTAGCTGTAAAAGGTCAAAAGCCAATTATGTTGGAGATACTAAAAAATTGTTTATATGTAGTTATGTACTTACTTATTTCTTTTTTGTTTTTTGTATGCAACGTTTCTTATGGACTAAGGTTTTTGAGCATTGCATTGGTAATTCGTCTATATAAGTGTAGTAAAGGATGTTAGACCAAAAATCTACTCTTTAGGTATTTGGAAGTAAATGTCAAAATTGATAGAAAAAAAAAATTAAAAAATTAGGTGCTACTGCTAAAATAAAAATTACATGCAAATTAATTCTTCGCGGTGGCAAATACTAAAGATATCTTAAAGGTGTTTACCGTGTTTTTCAGACTGCAAAACGCATCTTTTTTATATAAGAAAATGGAGTCAAATTTTGGGTGCGTGTTACGATCGGAAGGTCACATTAAAATATTTTTTTAGCAAATCGTCTCCAAATTTGAGGTACATGAGGTACCAATAGTTCAGATGAAAGCAATACGAATGGTGACGTTAACGATGTGAGTGGTAGTATAAAGAGTGAAGATGAACACAATATTGCAAGTACGAGTTATTTTACCAATAAATAAAAATTTTAATCCGAAAGTAACACACAAATAAATTTTTCTAAAAATCGTCTTAAAAATTTGAAGTGCGTCTTATAGTCCAAAAAATACGGTATAAGCTTTGCATAGATTAAAGAATGTTCTAATGTTTTGAAATTATTTTGCGTTGTCGAATCCGCATTTATCGATGAGTTATCGAAGGTATCCAATTCAGTTTCCAATGTCATTTTATTGCATTAAATAAGGCTACCCAATTGTCGTCATCGAATCTATGAAAAATACGAAAATTTTACCTAAAACTTTAAAATTTACAATGAATTTTGGATAAAGATCGAAACAGTTCTTTATTTAATTTAATTTATTTTATATATATTTTTTATATAGTTGCGAAAGTCGAACACATTAGCAAGAAGAAAAAAAGTGCATCAAATATTTACAGTATTTTGCAACACTGAATACGGAAAAATTAACAAAATAATAAAAGAAGAAAATGTAAAAACAAATTCAACTGAAGTTTAACTTGTTTACCTTTATAAAATACTTTTCGATGAACAATATTATCTCTTAGAAGTAATAAAATAATTTGCCTCCAATTCGTACCAAAGAAGAATCAAATTAAGTTTACTAAAATGTCATTATTTCCTGCTTACTCCGAACCTGATAGACGCAATAGCCAAGACAAGGAAGATACTGAAACAACAGCTCCAGTTACAAATTTTGTAAACACGCAATGGCTTGAAAATAATAGTTTCACTATTAGTGAGGAGCAATTGAAACGGACACAGAAAGAACGCGTGCTGCCGCACGCGAATGATGGCGAACAAAATACATCTGAATGCTCGGTAATTTTATCTAGTGATAGTAGTGAAGAAGCATTAGATGAATGTGATAGAGAAAGGACTATGAAGGATAAAAAATCCAAAAATAATGTAGAAAAATTAATACGAACGTCACATTTGGAGTTTGCAGGGAATGAAGAATTTTATGTAGACAAAGCGAAGGCTAAACAATACAACACGGTTAAAACACTGTACAAGCCAGCCCGCCCCAGATATAGGGTATATTACCCGAAACCAATGGGGAAGATGAGATCTTCTGGTAATAAAAACAAATCAAAACGTTACTTCCAATGTAAAGAGCTAAAAAATGAAATTAGCACACCACAAATTTATCCTCTAGAAGAGAATGACTATACCGCACAAATGGGAATATTGAACCGCAAGACTATTGAGTTTTGTAGGGAATTGCAACCATGGTTGGATCTCATTGAACTGCAGGATAGAAATCCATATAAATGGTCACGTTTACGAGTATCTGAAAAGCAACTCGAGTATATTCAAAAGGCTTTACATTATCATCCACGGAACGAAAAGCTATATTGTAAATATATTGACATTGTAAGGGCCACATATCCATCGCACGATGTAACAAAAATGCTGGAAAGTCTTCTAAATAAAGATCCTTACCGTTTAACGCTATGGGAAGCGCAAATAATGACCACGCAAGGCACAATGGCTAGGTGCACTGTTCCTGATGTGTTACGTCTCTATCAGAGATGCATGAAAAAGATGTACGCAGCTCAAAGACCCGAGGAATTAGCCTCCCAAAGCACCGACTCTGTGATGATGCATTTATTTCACAACTGTGCAATATTTTTGCGTCAAGCAGGACTATATGAGCAGTTCTTTGCGGTAATCAAATTAGCTTTAGAGTTAAATGTTGTAAATACTAAAAATTTCAGTGAAGATTTACAACCGCGACCCGAAGACGAATTAACTCTTGTAGAATATGAAGAGTTAATTTTACAGTCGGGGTTACCGATGAATGAGATATGGTTGCGAATAGAAACGTTAAGACAAGGTTTTAATTTTTTACCCTTTCCTGGCGAGGGTAATAAGTGCAGCGATCCGCAACGCATCGTATTCAACGAAGATGTCTGCCATTACGTATATCCTTTGAAAAGCAAAGAAAATTCTTTTCGTTTACTTTTAATTATCGTAAAACTATTAAAGATTCCCTTCATTCAAACGGATTGTTTAGCTGCTCAGTTCGAGGGTGATTCAGATGCCGTGGAAGAAACTCTGGCAACATGTCTAAAGCGCCATTTTACGTCATCCATTGACCATAGCAAAGAGCACGACGAGTTCTTACGAGGAATTTGCGAATTATCCAAGGAATTAGCTGTATGTCCAACCTTTTTAAGCAACACTGTTGCTCATGAACTCTATTCGCGTTGTCTTAAGAATTTTCTTCTAAACTGCGCTACAGCTTATGAAGGCATCGATGAGAGAAAACGTCTATCGTTCCTGATGCTCTGGTGTCGCTTCGAACGTTTGCTCTTAACTTTGGAAACATTGACAAAAAAAGTTACACCAGAATTTATTAAAAATGGACAGTCACGTTTTAAATCGTTACTTAAACAGAAAATCAATCGGAACGTTTTTCACTTGTACGTTGAGTTCGCTCTGTACGAAATTGAATCAAATTCCAAATCGGAGACGATAGAAAATATATTTCAAAATGTTATATCCGCTTACAAGCAAGAGGAGAATCTGGCATCGGAGTTGTGTCATGCTTTTGTAACCTATGCGGAAGTGCTTATAGGATGGGGTAAGAACGAGGAAGCCAGCCAGCTGCTATCCACATACAGTTTAGGGCTTGAATACGACCCGAAGGCCGTGCCATTGAAAAGCTCCCGAAAGTTGGCTGCGTTAAAATTGCTGCATAGCAAATTAGAGGACAACATTAACATAGAAAAGCATGTAGAGATAATGGTATTAGAGCAACACTTAATACCGGATTATACGATTTCGTTGCTAAAATCATATACGCTTCTGCAATACACGCTGGAACAGAAGCAAGAGGCGCTTACCTATTTAGATACGTTACTTTCGATTTTTCATAAAAATTCAGAAAATGAAAGGCACAATTTCTTAAGAGAACAAATACACGAACTATATACGGTTTTGCTGCAGTTACCAGGTGGTAACAACTATGCTTCTCATACATTCATAATGGAACGTATTTTCACAGCGCTTAAGGAATATCCACACAATCTTTTTTTACTGCAAAAATGGGGCACTCTGACATCGACGGCGTGGTATAAATTGAAAGCTGGTTTCTTGAAACTGAGTCCATCGATAGTATCGGTTATACTTCTAATAGCTTTGGCACGATTTAGATACCTTAAGCCTTTGCTGTGTCCAACTAACATTAGCGAATTCGCTCTCATATCTAGTCCGGATTTTCGGCATAACGAAGCTATCATACGCCAGCGAATACTTAATCTCTTTAAAGTTTTAATACCTTCGACGGGTGCACCCAGCAATCAAACGTTTTCTGTTTATCAAAATTTTACTAATTTACAACGTAACGGCTTATTCTGGCGGTGTTATTTACGTTGCTTGTCGGACCAAAGTACCTCGTTTGAGACTAGCAAGAAATGCCTACTAACCGCTTTAGATGAGTGCCCATGGAGTAAAGCTTTGTATTTGGATGGTGCAACATATGTCCCCCAGGAGCTTTCAAACCTTCAAGATTTGATAATCGAAAAGCAGCTACGCATCTACGCACTACCGGAGGAATTGGAGATTCTCAGGGAACAGTAGCACTTAATTTGCTAACAACTATCTTACAAAAGCAGATAAAGGCGCATTGAAAATTAATTTTTAAACGTTTATTCAAAACTTCTAGAAAAAAATAAATTTTCTCACATATATAAAAAAAAAAAAAAAAAAACAAATGAATATATAAAACAAGGAACGTAACTCTTAGATGTGGAATCGAATTGTAATGAATGTTGTAAAATAAAAGAATATGTGATTACGTCACTAATGTATGTGGTTGTGGTAAATAAATCTTAAATATATTTTACTATGAAATTTTTTATGATAGCCGGGCAGTGGTGTCATTCTTTTATTTCGTATCCATTTTGCTTTGTTCGCCATTAACGGTCTCCGGGTCTTTGGTAGACGTCGGTTGCTTTACGCTCAAGTGCGCTGGGCCAGTCTGCTGAATCTCTATGATGCGTTCGTTAGCGGCTTTAGCCTTGTTAGGTGGTGGTGGCGCCTTAACTGTAAGTATTCCATCGGACGATACAGTGGAAACGACATCCTTGGGTTCGTAACCTTTGGGCAATTGATATTTTCGTACAAAATGCCTTTGAATGAAGCCATGATCGTCTTCGCGTTCCTCATGCTTGCCTTCGACGACAACAGTTTTGTCGATAGTTTTTACACTAAGTTCATTCGGTCTAAATTGAGATACATCCATGCACACTTGGAATCCGTCCTTTCCTACTGTTGGAACAAGTTGCGATTTGTTCTCATCATCTTTGTCAAGGCGACGTCGAAATTTGCTTAACAATGGCGTATAGGGTGTATAACGGATTCTGGGATGAAGCATTAAGGAGCGGCGGCGTGGCCGGAATACATCAATTGGATGAACACCCAGACCAAAATTATCCTCCAACAGCAATTGTTCGATATTAGTTAGGCCCTCGATTTCGTTGTTGAAATCATGAGCCAACTCAGCAATTAACGGCACAATCGACATATTCCTTTCTTTTCTTAAACGCAAGGTATCAAATGAAAAAAATAACGGCTTACTTCGATATCTTATATACTTTTTTGCCCGGTCGTCTCGATTCACTTTTTTCTTTTCTTTCTTTTATTCTCGGTTCAGCAATTCGCTCAGATGTGCGCACTCTTTCGAAATCAATTTCGATTTGAAAGAGAAACTGAATTGTTACTCGTCTTATATACTGTGGGAGCACAAAAAAAGTTTTCAAAGAGAAAATTCGTGTATATTCTGGAATGATTCATTTGGTAATTGTGAAATTCGAGTTTTTTTAGCCGTGTCAGAGAGGGAGAAAGAGAGAGAGAGAGAGAGAGCTTAATGTTGCATATTGCGTGAGCAAATGCATATGCGCTTGTTTGGGCATTGGGCATTCCATTGTTGTATGCAAAAACAACTATATTTTCAGTTTAAACCACCGGCGTTTGTAATGACATTTTTATATGTTTGTGCGAATTAGTTCGTTGACCTCATTGAGTTCAATGCTTTTATGCTTTTATCGTTACAAATATATATGTACTGGATATGTTGATATTCACACATATGCATACATGTGAATAACATTAAAAACATTCATTTGTACAGACCTATATATGCATACATAAAATTGCAATTTATTTCGCCAACGAGTCTGCAAATGGCTGATAGCTGTTAACTCATATATAAAAAAAATATATTATACATACATAATTGCAGTTGTGACATTAAAATTATTGCCTTTTGTTTTGAAATTTGAAATCAACATGCATTACTGATGAAAGCAAACAATATTCTCTCGAATATTCTAAACGCCCAATGTCATTACACACATGCATATGTTTTTTTTGTGTTGATTTTCTTTTTTGCACGCATTGCACACATACATATAAATAAGCCGACATTGTACACAAGCTAACGAAAGCCTTACCCTTATATATGTATTTCTCTTTGTGAAATAGTGTGCGATTCGTGAAGAGAAAAATGCAAATAAATAACATACCGGTTGACTAAAGCTCTTCAGAGAGGAATTTTAAATTCAAGTGTTACCTACCTAAATGAAAAAAAAATTCATCTCTCTTTTTATTCAAAATATTTACTAAGCGCTTTTAGATAAACAACAATGAGAATGAATTTTTACAAAACATATCAAAAGAAAAGAAATTTCATTGTAAAATTTTTAAATAAAAGGCAAAATTTTTCGCACAAACATTTTTCTCAAAAAGTTTAAGAAAATTTCTATAACATAATCATCGATTATTGACCAGATTAGAGAATTTTCAAAAAAAAAAAAAAAAGGAATAAAGTTTTTTCTATGAGACCACTCTGAACAAACAGAAAGCCCATGTTTTTTGTCTAACTAAAAATATGCTTTTTCAAATCAAAGGTTAATATGCGTCCGCCAACTTACCACTGCATGATACATGTTAATTTTATAATTTCTGGAAATTGCAGGAATCGATTTAGCTGATCTCTATCTAATAAAAGAGGAAGAAAGTTGATGGCATACTTGTTCCTTGGCATATAGTACCCAGCAAAAGCGAATTATTTCATTTCTAAATAAAAGTGAAAAAAAAAAATTACATACGTATATGAACTTTGGCCTTCAAAAGCTTTTACATGTATATTTAAGACCGATTAAAATTTATGAAAGGAAAAAGTTAAAATGTGCCCGAAGAATGGAATCAAAATGGAAATCAAATGGGAAATAAAAGTTGAAAGTGAACCATTGACATATTTTCAAATAAACCTTGAACGGAAGGAAATATATCAATTTCACAATCGCTAGTTCAGTGCTTAAAAATAACTGACGAGGTTGTAGAGGTCAAATTCTCCTACCGGTCTCAACTTTTGCTATCCACGTCGCGTCCATTTACATTACTATGGAAATGTGAAGCAAAAGTTGGAAGAATCGATCTATGGTGATGTTATGCCCCCCTATTGCAATCAGTGGGTTCAAGTCAATTCAATGTTTTTATTTTATTTGCAGGAGTACCATTCTCCATATAGAGAGTATTTTGTAACATTTGCGAGAAATTGCAATTATGGGCACATATCCCTTATCGGCGTAAGATATTGAATCCAATTACATGCATCATCTATTCTCCGTCAAATAATTCTACAAAGAAATTCAGTCCGAGCAAGGGTGCGTTCGCCCCAAAATAGATGAAAAAGATCTCGAAGTGCTTGGAATTTGATTCACGAGCTATCATCGAAAGCTTAAAAGCATCAATTTTTCGGCAAGCACTGTCAAAGCAAGAATACAACGTGTGCTAGATGATATGGTTTCTCTTCCATATTGTTGCAATGTTTGTGCGCAATTAATTTTTATAGAAAATTCTTTAAGCAATTAAACTCAATAATATATTTTTACATATCAATTTTATTTTAAATAAAAAATGTATGAAATGAATTTAAGGAAACATTTAAAAGAATAACATTAAATAATAAAACTTAAAAAGAAAGAAAATCCGGACTTCATTTTTTAATAATTATTTCACTGCATTCTATAAATGAATTCGTCCTGAGAATCGACCAAAAAGCGAAAACATTTACAATTTGGATTGTTTTGAATCTTTCTCAGCGGACTCTTCGTTGATTTCTTTTGGATTTTCCTTGACGTTCAAATGAGCCGGTCCCACTTGCTGAATTTGGATGACACGTTCATTTGGTTTATCTTCGATTGCTGGCTTGGGCACGTTCACAGTTAGCACACCATCTGAAGACAGGGTTGACAGAACTTTATTGGGGTCGTAGCCTTTGGGCAGCGCATATCGACGTACAAAGTGTCTAGAAATGAAGCCGCGATCATCTTCGCGCTCCTCATGTTTACCCTCAACAATTATACAGTTGTCAGCAACTTTTACTACCAATTCGTTCGGTTTGAATTGCTGTACATCCATGCATACCTGGAAACCGTCTTTACCAATGGTTGAGACTTGATCGGCATTAAACAGATCACGATTCCGGAGTTGTTGTTGTTGTTCGCCGGTTAAAAGGGCTAAAGGATGACGGGCATAGTACAACGATGGATCGTAGAATGGCGAAGCAGCCATCGATAGACGATTTAAATCATCAGCCAAACTTAGAATGAGTGGTAAACTCGACATTTTGTTAATATGAAAAAAAGCCTCAATCGTTACGCTTCAAAAATGATTTTAAGAAAAGCCGTCAAAATCTTCCTCTCGATTTGATTTATTTATAAACGTTTTGCTTTACTAAATTGTACTGATAATATTTATACGTAATCAACCGGTATTTATACCGCTTGCTTAAGCTTATAAATAATTTGACATATAAACATATATATATATATATATATATATATATACAATGCTTATATGTTTCTTGACAGGCCCAGCGAAGAGTAAAAGTATTTTCTCGATAAATCTAGTATTTTAACTACGAAGAGAATGGAATAGCAATAAGAAACTAAGAAACTAGCAAATAAACACTTATGCTCAAAAGAGATTATTAAAGAGTACAAAGTGCCCGCTTAAACAAATCAAAAAGCTTTTATTTCTCTTACAAAGAGAGACTGTTCAGAATTTTTATATTCGAAAATGAATAAGATTTACGAGACTTAATGCGAAACTTCTTTACATTCCTTGAATTTTGTTTGCATTACAGATGTTCATATGTGTTTTTTTTTTCGGTTACAGACACGCATACACGCATGTAAAATAAAACTGCTTGCTATTTTTGATAAATATATATATATATATAAATATATAATATATATATATAAATATATGCATATATATATATATAAATATATATATATATGCATATATAAATAGAATTGCTTGCTATTTTTAATTGTATGAAAATGTGCGTATGTCAGATGCTTCCTTTCTTTTTTTCAATGCCATTAATTAATGTTTAATAGTAGGTGCTTGCACATATTTCGATTAGCGACGTCTTCTTCCATCCGTTTTGTATTATTGAGTTATTCATCGTATATAGACGCCAACTATTGATTGTTTGATTTAAAGAAATCGGCCGCCGAAGTCGTTCAGTAAAATACTGGCGTTTCATCATATCCTAATTGTCGGTTTTGACTTCAGGGCTTGAAAAGGGCCGATTTTGATGTCAATGACAAGGAATAGCCTGAAAACATAATGATTTGCAAGACTTATTGGGTGAAAAGCCAGCCTGCAAACCTTCAAATAAGTCTCGGTGAAATCAATTTTTACTAGACGTTTACATGTGACAAAAAAAAAGTCCCAAATGAGCTAAAATGAGTACCTTTCCTTTTTCTTTACGTTTCCTTTTCCATTTCCTTTTCCAGGAATTGTAAAACTTTATGTAAGAAACTTCTAGAGTAATGTACATGCAGGTGTTTATAAGTAACGGTTAGTAGAGAATATAATTCTCTCGTTGTAGTTAAAAAGAAATAAACACAATTTCCACAACAAACTGATTCATCGAACATGCATCAGCTGTGCTTTTTTATATATCATCAAAATGATTTCAACACATCTTGAAAACGGTACATAACAATGCCAAGTTTGTAAAAAAAATGTGCAAGGTATTGTATTGTACATAGGTATGTGAATTATGTACATATTTAAGCAAAAAGTAAAAGTAAAAAGCGTCAAAGCGACATTTTCATTAAAGGGAATCATTTTTCTGAAGGTAACAAACATTCACACGCCTTTCGATTTCTTTTACTTGCGATTTTATTGAAAAATGTTAATTTAAAAATGATTTTACGAAAACGAAACGTACAGCTGTGTATGCGAATGTAAAGCAGATCAACCCTAAGACGTGTAAACAAGGAAGAGAAACTTTTTTTGTGTATAGTTTTGCACTGCAGCTGTTTTATTTACTACAGGCACTCCATTTTATGCAATTTTTTTTTTTCTTTTTTCTTACACTCTCATCATTTCTTTTAGTTCTACGAATAAAAGGAAGGCGCAATAACTAGCGACACTTTCCATTTAAATTGAGGAAGAGATTTTCTCCATCTTCGAATGCTTAGAACTTTGATGCCCGTCAACGTGGGAAGGGAAAAAACCCTTATATTCATTGTCCGATGGCCCTTTAGAAAATGTCCATTCCCCCGACGATTCAAAATCGAATGCCTTGGCATTTAAAACAATTTGCAGAGTTTTGACCTTGACGAACAGCCTAGCATGCATGCCTTGCATTACTCCAAAGTATGAACTATGTACATTGTTTGTGCATATGCATATATATATATATATATATTATTTTATTAATTTTTTTTTTTGATATTTGCTTGCGAGCATATTATTTATTGTTATTATATTGACGTACTATTTAAAGTATATAAAGTGTTGTTGGAAATGTTGTTGGTGTTGCAAAACGTAGTGGCTTTTTGTGTGTGTGTGTGTGTGTGAATAAAATTGATTCATTTATTTAATTTAGAATTAGCCATTATTAATGAAAGCACTCTAAATATAAAAAAAGATAATATTATTATTATTATTATTATATTATTATTTAGTTTTGGCTACGTTTTTGACATTGCATTGATGTTGAAATCTATGCGATCTATGATATGAAAGAAAATTATTTCTTACAAGGGCTTCTTGTCAGTTGTTTCTAAGCATTTTTCAATTCTTCTCATTTCACTTATTCGCTATCTTCGATTAAATATATTCAATATAAAGTTAAAGCTTTAAAAAGATGAATAAATATTTACAGGATTTTTATCATAATAACTAAAGAAAAAAAAAAAAAAAGGTTTATTAAAATAACTTTTCTATATACGAGGTATTAAAAAAAAAAAAAGAAAAGAAGAAAAAAGAAAGAGTAAAAATATTTTCGAATTATTCTGTATTTCTCTTTTGTGGTACCAAACATTTTTACGCTCTTTCGTTTACAATACAGTCTGTATACAGACTTGCGAAGCATACATAGGCTTATGTGCGAAAATATTTTTGCCTTTTTTTTTTTTTTCGGTCTCTTTTGTTTAAGCGCTGAACGAAACAATAAGTGAAACAAAGGTACATATGGTCGCATCTATGTACAATACGTAGTCGCAGACAATATGATAGTCAGCTGTTGTTATCTTTATTGCCGGCTTAAGAAATCTCTTTTGTTACATTTCCTTTTCTTTTTTTTCTCTCAAATTTATTTTGTCAAAGACGCATATCTATACGTTTGTATATATCGCATATGTAATTTAAGTAGACACGAACACATATGCAGCCGGTCGGCATATTCATGGCTAAACTCTGTAAATCTTTGTCAGCTGTTTTATATATATACGTATAGGATGCAACTTCACGCTGCTAGTTTCGCTTGTACACAAGTTGATATGTTAGGTATCAGGCAGCTGCTACTCTTCTCTCGCATGAGTTCTACAAACAATTGATTCTCCTCTACGCGTATATAAACAATTTCTCTATTAATTAGGCAAACTAAGCTCGATATTTCATTTGCAATCGTTGATGATGATATTCGATGGCAGCTCCGTTGATAAATCGGCGATAAACTGTTTGCAAATTGTTCGCTGATTTGATGTTCGATAGGCAATTTTCAATGATTGGATGAAAATAACATCTCCACTGATCGGCATGTGTACGCATTAAATTGTTGTATGGTGATGGGTGTTCAAAAGTCGTTGTAAAATAAGTACACGTTTGTGTTTCTTATTTATTTTTAGACTTGTTTTATTCCAGTATCTTCTCAGACAACCGGTTTTCACTTTTGCCGATATATAACAACGATTTCCTTTTTAATAAGATCCTTTATGTATTTATAATAGAGAACATTACTCACATTATCTGCAAAAGTTTCACATTGTGTACGGAATGAAACCTTCGCAAAGAAAAAAAGGAAACCATGAATCACGTACCATTTAAAATTGTTACATATTGTATTATATATCTATGTAAATATATATAAATGATTGAATAAATCTATGTAAGCATAGTTTCGTTCAATTTATATATATATATATATATATGATATATACATATATGTATACTGTTTACTATGAGTACCTTTGTCTATAAAAGAAATTGCTCAGCGGTGCTTGTGCAGAAAAACAAGAAAAGCCAAAGACAAAAAAGAAAATGTTCAGTTTTCGTCTAGAGTGTGGAAAACAAGAAATGTGAAATTTGTATGCCATTTTCCCTTTCCCTGGCATACTATAGCGATATATATATATATATATATGCGCCTATATATGTATATTATGTATTTGCCTGGTCGCGTAAAATGCAAATGTATAGTTAAACCGTTATCCTCTTGCAAACTGATGACGAAGAGATTAGGATAAAGAAGGATTAAGGGATTTAAGGTAATGACTAAGGAAATGTTGTCAACATCTGCTCACTTTCTAATTCCATATTGGCTAAACGACGTTTTGATTAATCAAAAGAAAGTGTGTGCACAGCGCTTATCTTATCGAGCGAAATATGGCATAATGAAAATTCGCCAGAGCCGGCACAACAATCGTGCTTGGACTCATTTTTGTTAAAATTGAAAAAGTTGTCATATTTCCAAGAAGATTTCCGTCAACAAATTCATTTCTAATACCGGAACTGATCTATGATGGCATTTTGCCATTAATTGCTCAATTCGTGAAGGATTTCATTCACTTCGAACTACGATTATCTATTAATATATTCACGGGTGTAAGAGATCTCATTGAAATGTAAATTTCTCTTCAATATTAGCTTTGATATCCAAAATATGCTTGGAAAAGTTTACATATATTTTAACCGCTATATATATTCAGTGAATGAATGAAAGTTATTGTCGTCTGCAAGATTAAGTGCTATTGTGCGAACGTACGATTCATGGCACCTATGTGGACTTCGATAAAAACAAGTAAAAATTCTATTGTGGGCGTTGGCTCACCATTAAATATCCTACATCGACCGTTATATAGGTAGCGGTCGAAAACCTGATCCGATCGGAATAATTTTCAATAATGTTCGCCCTTAGGCCGAAAGATGTCAGTGTACCAAAATTTGATCAACATGTCTCAATAATTTGCGATTTGTAGGTCGGCGGCGATGTAAAATGCGCAGGCTGCCAGACGGACAGATAACCTTAAATTGATTAAGGAAATGATACTGAATCGAACCGTATAATAAAACCTCAAGATAGCCTTTTGTTGATAAAAATTGTTTAAATCAATTTATTAATAAACAAAATCCCACGTGTTTCACTCGAAATTACGAACAATGAAAATTGTTTGAGCATATGTATATGCTGCGAGAAAAAAAGATGAAATTCTTTGAAAATTTGAAATTTTGGTAAATCCATAACATAACTGTCTTTTTATGTCCATTTGCGTTATTTAAGGGAACTCGTAAATCAAGCGAAATAAAATGAATTTCTTACATTCGTCTACTCCGGCTTTATTTTTAAATCTATTAAAAAAAAAACTAATAATGAAATTTGAAAAACTATTGTTGTACCCTACACCGCTCGTGGTATAAGCGTATATTAAATATGTGCGTATTCATCCATTACTCGCATGGATCATATATTTTATTGTTATTTGAGAGATCGACTTTTATTTATATACAACGGCATTTAAGTGATGTACTTAGGGAAAGGTATACATGAGACTTGTATTGTCTTCTTCATAAACCGTTCTTCTGAAACGTGAACGGCAAAAACGCTTCTCATTTACATAGAGAATGTATATGTGTTTCTATCCCCATTTAAATATTTTAACGTGAATATAATATGACAAACAATAATAAATATGTATGAATAAATAAATAAATAAAAAAAACAAAAACAAAATTGACTTATAAATATAATTATACAATAATTGAAAAGCAAATGTAAGACAAACAAAATTGAAAATTGCTCTCTCTGAAAATCGATACGCGTCCAAGAAATATATATATATTTATTTATATATATATATATTTATATATATATTTATATATATGTGTCTCCTTTATGGATTTGAAAGAGGAGTCCACGCAGCACACACACACACACACACACACACACACACACACACTATATTGTTATTGTCTTATGAATGCTTGTACAGTAGATAGATAATATGTTAAAATATATAACCAAGTATGTATATGTCATATGTCCCAATATATTGAATAATTTTTTGCTACAATTCCTGCAAAAGACAAAAAAAAAAAAATCGATACTGAGAAGCGAACCGCACGCAATCTGCACAGTGTCTGCAGTCGGTAAGCTAAATCAAAGAAAGGCAAAAAAAGTCAATTTTCTTTGCGGGGCGAATAAAATTTGCTAAGTGAAATAGGGCACAGCAACGAATGAACATATTATCATATTTGGGTTCATTGGTTAAATAAAGAGTGAGAGGGAGTGAGAGCAAATTTAAAAGAAATCACTTATTTTATTTATTCTCTTCCAAGCATATATAATTTATGGTGGGAATAAAAAAGAAAGGAGTCGAAAAAATGCCGGGCAACGATTGGTTTTTTTTTTTTTCGTTTCTTTTGGTCTGCAAACTAAACTGTAAACGAATAAATACTGCAAATATCCGAGCTTATGTACTGCAATCGAAGACAAACTCAAAGCGAAAAGGAAACGCAAAAGCAAAAGCTTTTCCATAAGCATAAATGATAGCTTACTTTGATTTAGTTTAAAAAAGTTCCAATCGTTTCAATTGTTTCAATCCGCAATTGCATGTATAATTGGTTGATTGATTGCCTGCCTGATAGGTTGTTAGTAAAAAGTGAAACGTAAAGAAAATTTTTGAATATAAATTTTTACACAGATTTCTGATTCAACATATATATGTAGAAAATAGAACAAATAATAAAAATATAATAAAGATATATATATACATATATATATGTATATATATAATTCGATGATCAGATAATTAGATTTTTTTCTTTTATTTATTTTTCTTAATATTATAAAATATATTCCAAGCTTGGCTTGATAAATGAGAAAATCAAAAGTAAATCTCTCAAAAATGTTTTCTTATGTTTAAATTTAAAAAATGTACTTGATTTTTGCCGGATTTCTATTCAAAGTGTTGTTGTCATTAAGCTGAGACGATTAAAAGAGTTGAGAAAGCGAGAGAGAGAGAGAAAAAAAAAAGGAGAATTCTATGATGCATTGCAAAACTGTTACTACTACTACTACTACTACTACTACTACTACTACTACTACATATATTGAGCTGTATACTCAAACTCGGATACTCAAATATTTTCTCTCAGCCATGTTATCTAATTTTCAAAGGGAAAACAATACAAGGGTATGTTTCATGTTTCTTGTTTCTTTTTTGTTCGTTTCTTAATTTCTCTCGTTTGAATTCGGTCTTGCGGACTTGCCAAGTAGATGTCATTTCATAGCTAAACGCATCACTCTAGTTTTGCATGCAGGACCAGGCGGATTTATTGCGGCTCTTGCTTATTTCTTGTATGAAGTGAATTATTGTAACGGATAAGGCCAGAGACGGTTAATATTGTAATTGAAAAGTAAGTGAGGACGTGTTATTCATTAAATGTCGCTGATACCTTTTATTTTGGACTTGGCCGACGAGCTGCATGAGTTAGGCCGTTGCTTGGCCAACGGGATGGATATCGATGATTTTGGTTTCGGTATTTATCCCAGTGCTGAGCAGCCAACATCTACTACAAACTTACATCAGCAGCAAAGTCCCAGACGTTCACGTCCGACCCCTTTGTATTGGCTGCCATCAAAGCGTCATCATCCTTATTGCCGCAACACAAAGACACCTTGCTGTAGTGGCAAGGCCAATGCAGAAGATATTAATTCCTCTTCTGCAGATAAAGATTTAAGTGCCGCTACCAGCGCATCAGTTAATAATTCAAATGCTTCTGGGAAATCGGCGGCTTATTCAGTAGTAAATAGGAATGGTTTTCAAGTAAGCATGAATGTAAAGCAATTTTCACGTAATGAGCTTACTGTGAAAACAATCGATAATTGTATTGTGGTCGAGGGCCGACACGACGACAAGGAGGACGGACACGGCCTCATTTCACGTCATTTTGTACGTAAATACATGTTGCCGAAGGGCTACGATCCAAACGACGTCCTCTCGACTCTATCTTCGGACGGGATTTTAACGGTTAAGGCTCCTCCTCCACCGAATGTTAAAATTGCTGAGCGCCAAGAGCGCATAATCGAAATTCAGCCGTTTTCTGGACCAGCCCAACTTCAAGCGTCTGCAAAAGAAAATACCAAAGAGCCGGCAAAGAAAACTTCAGCTGCAAGTGCCATTAGTCAGCCACCAGAAAAAAAGCAAAAACTGGATTTATCGCTGCAGCAACAGACAGAAACTATTCAAATGCAGGAACAAAACAATGAAATAAAAAAAGTTGCTCAACCACTAAACGAGTGTAACGAGCAAATACAACAGGAGCGAGATGAAGACGTACAACAAGAAACCCCTCAAAAACAACATCAATCGATTGGCGAGAAATCGGCTGAGAAGGAAATTGTAGTTGCTGCTGAAAGTGGAAAATTAGAGCAAAACGGTAAAAAAAGCTCTCATGAGACATTAATTGCCGAGTCAGAGAGTCAAGCTGATTCACTCTTGGATACCTCGACAACAGCTGAGATTATTCCATCAAATGTGAGTGAAATTCAAGAGATAAATTTAAACACCGAAACTTCCAATACCATCGTCAACGATATCGCCATGACCGACAACGGTGTCGATAATGCTGCCGGAAACTCCACCAAAACCGTAACTGCAGAAACAATCGCAGGCGAAGATACCAATGCCAACTCAACAAATACAATGGTAGTAAAAAACAGCATCATTTCCACTTCCACTATTGCCGTATTAACGTTACATTCCAATGATAATGGTTTAGTCGCCGATATGCTCCCAAGTGTCGTATCAAATACAACAGAAATAGCTGAAGCTGCTCTGGATGGCGATATAGATATGGAAACGGCGGAAACACACACACAGGTCGCATCAGCCGAGGTGAGTGTTGTAGATGATGTCGCATTGCTTAAAGCAGCCACATCAGCCGCAGTCGCAGGCAGCGCTGCCACCGAACCCATGGACGGAATTGTCGTCAGTGAAACCGCAAAGAATGCAGAATGCGGCGGTCTCTTTGGCCAAACGCGGCTAGAAAATGGCAACAACACAGCAACTTTGGCCACTGAAGAAATTGCCAATTAGATGACGGCAAAAAAATGTAACGGGCAAGCCGAGCCGTGTGTAGGTGAGTGCTTCTCTCAAGGGCCGACAACGTAATCAAAGAGAGAGAGTGAGAGAGAGAGGATAACTATGAGCGAAAAAAAAAAAAAACAAAAAAAACGAAAACGAAAACGAAAATGATAATTAAGTGTACTTTAAATAAGTTTTAGTTATTTTTTTATTTTTTCCTTTCCTTTATTTTTGTTGTCCTTTAGTTTTTTTAGTAGAAACATATACATATATACATATTTTTCCTGTTTATTTCCCTTTAATTTTTGGGTGAATTTTTACAGCACACGTACGTAACATGGCTGCTGAACCAATTAGTTTTCCTATATATGTTTTGATTTTTAAGTTTCTTTCCGTTTCATGTGTTAAACTTAAGTACGTTCTCCAAATAATATGGGAACGTAACGAGTATTAGTATGAAAGTAACTTAAATATATGCATATTAAAATAAAAAAATTATAAACTATTGTACTTAATTAATAAGTGCATAGATATCCTTATGAACATACGCAAGCATACAAACACATACACACACTCACTCATTCATTCATTCATTCACACACTTCATATATAATAAAGACTAGAAAACTAACAAACAAACAAACAAACAAAAAAATTGCTCGCAAAAATTGAACGAATGTTTCAATTAATAAATGAATTCAATAAAATAACATCGCTGCTGATAAGCGATTTATGATTAAAAGCGGCCTAAACAACGATTGGATTGGAACATTAATGAATGAAAATGTAATCAAACTATTTGAAGAGTATTTAGTGAGTAGATACGTACCCTTATCTATGTATGAATGGACTTTGTGATCATCATCATCATCATCATTATTATTATTATTATTATTATTATTATTTTTTGGCAAAAGCAACAACAACAACAAAATGTATGAATGAGTATAGCATTTACTTACGTGTAGCATACGAGACCAAAATAAAATGACGTGAATTCTTCTTGCATTTTAGATCCAGAATATACATATGTATGTACTTTGCAAGTGAATGCACAGACACAATGCATTAGCATTTATTTATTTTTATTATATTATTACAATTTTTAATTTTGGCCAACTACTCTGATTATATTTAGACTTGTAACCTTGAAAATAATTAATTTTTCATCAAAAATAAATATAAACAAATTCGATCAACTAACCACTACACAATTGCCTTCGTTAAAATTCTGCATTTATATATGCACGTACGCAAGCACACACAATATATATGTACATACCCATTATGAACATTTCAGTTTACTCAGCGAGCGATGCTAGGCTTAAAAGACCATTCCATTGCATTGCAGATATTATTGCCCTTAATTGTGTTATTGTGATTACAACATTTTGCAAAAGAGCGTATCGTGCCTTTTTAGCATCGGTCATCTTGGTCAACGCTTCCCCATCAAGTAACATGTAAATGAACGCAATTACACGGGGGAAGAGTGAGTAAAAAATGGAAGGTGGAATTTTGAGCCCATGGCGTAAATGATGCGATGTGACGATGTGTGTGTTCTTCATATAAAAATTTAATATTATAATGCGTAATGCATATTCCGTCAGTTAATCAATTTATTTATTTATTTATTTTATTTTATTTTTTTATTTTTTTTTTTTGTTTCTAAGTAAGCAATTGGATGAAAGTTGGCTTCGCTTGTGCTTCGTTTTTTTAAGCGTTCTTTAGCAACGACATTGTTCACACATACATTCGTAAATGTGTGTGCATTATATATATATATATATATATATATATATATATAACGCTTCTCCTTTACTTCCAGGGCAAGGCTGGTCGAGGTCGCCCAGTCTCCAGTATTGTTACAATTCGCTGACTTGGTTTATTACTAATCTGTTGAAGGGACGTTGGCGGTAAAGCTTTAATAGTAAGTGTGCCATCAGTTGATAAATCGGATATGACATCGTTGGCGTTGAAACCACGCGGTAATAGATATTTTCTGGTAAAATGTCTCTCTACCATATAATGTCCGCCTGTAGTGCGTTTAGTGTGTTTACCTTCGACAATGACATAATTATCATCGGTTTTAACTTCTATCTCACTAGGTGAATAATCAGTGACATCGATATCGACGCGGAATCCATTCTCATTGATGCATACACGCTCACCTGAATAGTAATTATCCCAGCACATAGGATAAGCCCAATCCAATAGAGAGGAGCGTATTAATTGGTTTCGCACTCTACGAATTACTAACTCGTCCATTGGCTTTAGAAATGATGTCGTTGGCCACCATATACGCGGATCATACCAAAGGTATGGATACAAATGAAAATCATAAGGCGGATAATATCGCGGACGATCAAGCTCACAGCAGAGATGGCGATGTCTTAATGGCACAAGAGACATTAATACGTTTTTTTATTAGAGAAAAATAAAAAAAAAAAAACAAAAACAAATTTATTGTAATTGTAATTAAAAAAGAATCGTCTACAGTTGTTAAGCGTTGGCAACTGAATAAATTGCACTAACAAGATGTGCATCATATTTGGTATAAATGTTTTGTAACTACGACACTAGGATGACGGCAACCAATCGTAGACTTTTCGCTATTTATATTTTGTACGATCGTCGATGTATGAAGGTATAATAATTTTGTTGTTGCATTTGTGTAACTACACGGACGGCTTCTCAATTATTTATGCGAAATTAGGCAGCCACGATATTCCATGCATATCTCTTATTACATGTAATCATTTCTATCAATGCGAAAAATTTTAACAATAAAACAAAAACGCCTTAACAATAAAGGTCGATCGACTTCGTTTTGCGTGAAACGTTGATTCATGGGTAGAAAATCTAAAGGGCTAAATCCATTCTGGAATAGCTGGGCTTGTAGCTAAAGTCCAAGAACATATATGTATAGGAGACATAAGGACAGACGTAAAGACATTACATATTAATAAAATTAGTAACGAATTGTTTGAGGGCGACAATGAATAGCCAAGATTCCCTATTTCTCCTATTTCCGTACTTGCTGCATACATTGCAATTATCATGAATGTGTGCAAACAGAAATACAGAGAACATATAAAATTTGAATTAAATTAACGATTACCTGTTCATAGCATATGAATAGATGCCGAAAAGATTTTCGTTTATAGAGTAACAAACATAAACACACATATATTATTATTATTATTATTATTATTCATATGTAGTTTATCGAGCGTGTACTACATATATGTAGTAAATAAAAATTAAGCTGGTACATCATTTTTCAAATTGAAATCTAAACAAGTTTGTTTTCATTCATCGGGCACGCCCACACTCTATATCCGTTTCAGTCTAAGTACCATACACACGGATCTTTTCGCTTCAAATCTCATTCCAATTTAAAAAATATTGTTAAATTGAAATCCATAAACTTCGAATCGGGACAATATGTCATGTAGTCTCCGTTTAGAGCGCTTGAAACGAACACTTCAATACAATTGTGTGTGCGGGGTCCTTCCCTTCTCAAAGCGAGAAGACCACGAAAGAAATTCGTTCGCAGTACAGTACATGTAACGAAAATCGGAGATTTTTTCCTCCAAAGAAACGATCTCAACGTTTTACATATCAATGATTCTCTTAAACGATGGCTCTTGTAAGCTCAAAGGGTCAAAACAAAAAAACAAAAAAAAAAGGCAAAAATTCCAATTCGAAAGGAATTTGCAAAGAGAAACCTGTTGCTGTTCATGATCATCACTGTCACTTGTCGAATTTATCGCGAAGAAAGCGAAAGTGGAAAAGAGCTTTAGTCTACGGACAATAAATCTAAGGTCACATTGTTAGCCGGCCCAGGAAATGCATTTGCATTGCTTGCATATTTGAGAGGACACAGAGCCAAACGCAATTTATATCAAGTCTCTGACAATCGTTTCTATTATAAATGCCATGATAAGCAAGTGGGATTGTTGTCTCAACTTTTCACTTAATTGTCCGCAATTTATGAAGTGATTTGCAAACACTTTTATCGAAAGAAAAAGACTCCCGACCGTACCAGTCTAATGTGGATAAACTATTGCAAGCATTTGGCTTTGGCTGCCATTTTAAAGATTTTAAAGATTCATCGCTTTATTATTCAAATGTCGTTAGGTCTCTCGCGTGGCGGTTTTTTTCCTTCTAAATCATACCTACAGGTAGATCTGTTCTTGCGTGAATTTTCTTTCTTTTTTTATTATCAAGACAAGAAGTGGGAAGACCGGTTAAGCGATTCATGCCCGCTTTTGTGCGCTCTATACAAACCTTGGTAAATCTAAGTAAAAGCCATCCCTAAGATTATGTATGATAAGCAAAAATATTTTCACACGCTCGAACGATCAAAGAGGATTTCAACTCAGTTCCTTTCGATTCGACAGCAAATTTATCGTTTGTAATTGTTTGTGAATATGTATGGACTCACATAGTACTTTATTCTAATTTTATATGATTTGTAAAGTTTGTATGCGATTTCAATAGCTTTACACACGCACTGCCAAACATGTCTTTCTGGCTTTAGTTTCTTTCGCTACGCATTTTACTTAAGTGAACTTATTTATGATAAACTGCGAGATCGCTGATGGGAACATTTGGTGAATTGAACACAAAATTCTGTAAGTCTGTAAATCGTTCCTACAAAAGTTGGGATGAGATTTGTCACTTTCAATGCGAATTTCATCTAATGAATCGCGTAAAAAGAGACTTTGGTATACCTATCTACTATATATTATAATTTTATATACTAATTAAATATTTATCGTGTGCGCATTGTTTGCTTGCATCAAGATAATCGCGCAAATACATCTGCTGTATATATACCCCGGCACTCAACTCTTTTTTTACACGGTCTTTTTCTATTCAATTTCGAAATGATACGGCTCACCGGCAAAGACAAACTCAAACGGCTAAATAATTTTGCACGAATTTCTTTTTGGTCTCGAGCACGATTCCCAAATAAAAAAATTCTTTAAATTCTTGATTATCGTAGACATATCTGAGATATCCCCTGATGTTAACATATCTCATTCAGTCAACAATAAATGTACACGCCTTGTATCAAGGCAGCGATGAATAATTGCGAAATTGCTTTTTATTCCTAATTTCATTATTCATTTCATTTCATTTTTTATTATATTTTTTTCTCGTATATGTATGTAAAATGGATTTCACTGTTGTTGGCTTAGTAGGATTTTTTGGGAAAATGTTTTCGAGTTTTTTTTAAGTTGTGGAACATAGCCCCAAATTTACCACATATTGCATGCATATTTTACCGTGTAAAAAAAGAGCTCACTACTCATATATATATATATATATGTATATTTTAGACCTATTAAGGTACACTGCGAAAGCCAGCCAAGCAAGTTTACTATATTGACTGAAATGGTTAGTAGATTTTAACTGACAAATAATTAATAACCGAAATGATAGATTCACAATGACCTGAAACCCAAATTATATCGCTCGAAATTGATGTTCGACATGTCGAGGTAAAAGAATTTTCAATTTATTTGCCAAAAATAATATTAATAGCGAGTAATGTCTAAATGATAAACAAAAAAAAAAAATAAATAATGCCTTTATTTATTTTTTATATCATTACAGATACGTGGTGTGTATGCATTATATTCAGTTTGTTTTTGAGCAAATTAACAAAGCCCTTTCTATATTAGCAAGTTAATAGAAACTACATATGCAGGTAATTATAAATAATTTATTTTTTATTTTTTACTCTCTCTCTCTCTCTCTTTGTCTTTCTTTTTTCAATTTCCATTTATTTTTTCTCCGAGTCTCTTTTCGCTTGCTCCGATTCTTGAGCTTTCTCGGTTGGTGATCCGGTCCGCTGAATTGGGATTTCACGAGCCTTCTCTTCAATTTCGGGCGGCTTAGGTACATTCACTGTTAAGACACCATCCGAGGATAGTGTGGAAATCGCATTATCGGCCACATATCCTTGCGGTAATGAAAAGCGACGAATAAAGTGACGCGAAACATAGCCATTATTGTTGTCATTTTCCTCGGATTTACCCTCAACAATAACACTATTATCTATTACTTTAACCGTTAACTGTTCGGGTTTGAATTCTGATACATTCATAGAAACTTGATAGCCATGTTTACCAATTTTATCAAAATTCATATCCATAACATGATTTAATTGACTTGCTGCGGGGGGGACCCATCGGTAGTTTGTGATCCAAGGATAGTCGAACAGCGGTGATGAAGGCATAGCCAAACGTCTCAAATCCTCGGCCATACGCCATAAAATCGGTAGAGTACGCATTCTAATTTCTCGCTATGGAACAACTTTCTTTTCGAAAGGGTTTAATTATTTGTCTGTTTTGTCTGTAACTACACGTTAAGCGGCATTTTTCAGTCGTATTTATACTACTTACACGTTCGAATAAGCAAGAACAGTTAATCTCGCTTATTTGCAGTCTGTATATGCGTGTCTATATGTGTGTATGTGTGCGCACAAATCTCTGTCTATAGACATGAGAACATTCTGGTAGAATCTGTTAATGAAGCAGAAATAGTGCTTGGAATTTTATAGAACACAGAGAAAGAGTGATATCAAGAGAGTAAAGCTCAAAGTAAATTTTCATTTATTTTTATTGCATTCTCTTAAATCCTTCTCGTCTCTTTTTTTTTGTTTTTTCCCATTTACGACGATTCTTATGGTGCGCGTATGTGCTGTGTTAACAGACACAACAACTAATACATATGCACTTTAGACTGCATTCTATTTATGTGTAGAACAATCCACAAAATAGTACGAAAGCAATTTTCACAAATTTGCGAAAAATTAATGTCTAGAAGATGCCTCGAAGAAAGTGCTCATTAATACAAGTGTATAAAGTGCATTTTTATACCCATCACCAAAGGATGATGGGGTTTATTAATTTTTGCAAGGAAATCGTAGAGCCTTAAAAGTTGGCCGAATTTTTCTTGCTCACATGAAAGTGTACATATATACACATATATATACATTGCCTATCTAAAAATGTGTTAATTGCAATGTAAATATGATGGATCCGATTTAGTATCAAATGGGGGGAACGGACTTGCAGAGCAGAATGCGAGACAAGCTAAGTGTGTTGACGGTATACGCCGGATAACGGATATGTTGGGTATAGAAGATTCAGTTGCGATCGCACAGAATTCTCGTTTTCTCATTTTCTTCACTGTCTGATGAATACTTGGATATTTTCGCCTTGAGAAAATTAATTTCCTTTTTCTATATTGCATTTTACACTCACTTACGCAGAGTGTATTTTATTTTATTTTTATCGTATCTGTGCAACGTATTGACGTTGTTAAGTTTGAAGTGTCATAATATATACATATACTTAGAATTATTGTTTTTTTTTTTTCTTGGCATAAATAGAGAGTTAATCTAATCCTTCTCTTTTGGACCACTCCAGCCATGAACCCAAATACGGCTTGGCTCTGTAAATGTAAGGTTACCAAAATTGTTAGTTGAGAGTATTTTTAATTAATTCATTCATTCTTACTTCTCCCAGCCGTGTTTCCTGGCCAAATCCGAACCCATTTGCGCGTACTGACCGCCTAAACATGAGAAAATCACAACTGCATCTCGTGGCGGTTTTTCACGGCCATATTTCATATTAAATTCTTTATCGTTCATCATGAGAGCCTTTTCCAATTCCATGACTTTTTTTTTTTTTTTTTTTTGGCAAATCAAGCAAGAAACCATAATAGTTTATTTATGTATTTGTTTTTGTATCTTTATTAAAAAATAGTTGATAGTTTATGAACTAAACTCCTACTTACATGGTATAATAATGCTGCCTGGTATGACGCCGTCTTTTTCCACTAATTCTCTACTTCTTACATCAATCAAGTATTTCTCCGGATGATTCGGTATATCCTTTACTTCCTCATAAGTTGCTAAATTCTTATCTTCGAGTAGCGTATCCTGCGCAAAGGCCCAACTTGCCACAATTAACAATAATATCCAAAATGGGAAACTCGATCTAAACGGAAACATTGTTCCACCGATAAACGACAAACGAATCTGATCGAAACGTTGGCAGCGGAATGGCTTTTATATATATATATGTACCTCGTTATAGACGGCCTTTATTGTGAATCTGAAAAACTTGGAGTAAATGCATTATTAAATCACGCATTCTCTTGTAACGTAAGCAAACTTAACTGATTCACACGCAATACGTTTAAATGAATTGAAAAATGATTAAAAAAAGAAAACAAATTCAGAAACAGGTTTATATGCGAATTCAAGTCGCTTTTCTTCCGCACTTCACTGCTCCAATGGAAAAATCTCGGGAAGATGCTCACTTAGCGGGCGACAGCGATAGGGCCAGCGCTGTAGCCCTTAATTGCACTAAATTCTCTTCTTCTTCTATAGGCGAACAGAGAATAGTTTTGCCTCACCATAACTTTCCTAATCGTTAGTCATATCTATCTATAAGTAAGAGTCCATGTTGGCAGTCAGCTTTTTATCTCAGTTTCTTTTTTTTTTTTTTTCCTTTGAGCAATGAACTTGGAGGTCGATCAGTCGATTATTGCCAGGATTATTGGAAAATTCGCTTTTAAAAGTCCCGTATTCTGGTTTCTGGTCAAGTTTCAAAGATTCGCGACGTCACCATTTGCGAAACGCATCAGTTTTGAAGAGCTTGATATCGGGTGATGAAAAGTGCGTATGTTAATACGAGAGTAATATGCGAAAAAAAAAATCGCGATCGTAAAGCTCTAACTTACGATGCGCAGGGTAATGTCCTTGGATTGAATGGGATTGAAAGGTAAACATGCACCGTAGACTATCCTCTCCATTGTGGGGAACAAATACAATTACTGTACAGTATCGGCATAGAGCGTCTAAAACTAATCAATAGTAATGGCGTTGTCTTCCATTATGACGATGAAGGGATCGCTCGGCCTCTAGTCCGCCGCTCTCAACAGTGTTGGTGGTGTGCTCACTACGAAGACTGGAAAGTGACAAAACATTATTGATTAATTTACTGAATAAAGTTGATTTCAGTAAAATGTAACAAAAAAATATCTCTTTCCTGAATTTTGCCGAGCAACGCCACGAGAATTAGTTTGCAAGTTTTTATTCATTGGTTCGGGGAGGAAGATATATATCACTGCTAAAGACTTACTTTAAATCATATATGAATCTTTTTAGTTGGCCTTTTGACAGCGATCGTCTTTATCTGCTACTGCCTTTTGTTTTTTGGCAGCAGGAAAGCAGCGGGAAAGCAGTTATCGTTAAGTGCATCAAGTTGACTTTCTCGGTGCCGAAGCGTCTTAAGTGAGTTCACCAACTTATTCTGATCAACAATATGCATTGGATAGAATAATAGTCCCCCCCATTGCTTATTCATTAATGTACATACCTATATTCTCCATTGCCTATGAACTTGCAAGCACGTCATACATAGTTATTAGGCTGATTTCCCTTAGCGTTAGTGTTTGCATTTATCAAAGCTATTACTATTTAATTATATTAATTTATCGAAATGTGCTTCTCTTATAATTTAAATATTAGTTTAACAATTGAAAGCAATTCAAACAAAAGATAATAAACGCACACGAGAACCAAATACCTAAAAACCTACGACATCAACGACATTCAAGATATATTTCATATAACATTCCGAAAATATTCAATGCGAAAATTCATTGAAAGTCTGACTTTATTATTCCCCATCACCGAAGGGCATGAGGGGTATGTTCATTTTGTCAAAAAGTTTGCCAAAGCCGAGAAAGAAGCTTCCGAAATGCCACACAGTATATATATTCTTGATCAATATCAAATTCTGAATCGATTTAGACATGTCCATCTGTCCGTCTGTATAAACGTCTGTTATAAACAATTACCCTGGCCGCAGAAATGTTTCTTTCGATCTTTTATAGCATAAGGGCGATGGGCATAAAATATTCGGCCGCAATCGAAATCAAATTTTCTTACTTGTTATGTACTTTACAAAGCTCGATGACTAAACGAGCTGTAGTCAGATTTACAGAAACTTGAACAAAACCTTGTGTGTATAATGTACGATAAATACGCTTTTATGCAAGGTATATATTTTATTATATACATACACGAAGTTGCTCTCAAGTTGCTTCAATTTGCTTTAATTTTAACTCATAAAAATAGAAGATGGCAACCGCACTTGCACGAAATCGAAAAAGTAAGGCAAGGAACCAAAAAAAAAAAAAAAAGCAACAAACTTTATCTCTCTTTACTCCCAAATGATAAGTAGGTTTGATGGAAAAAAAAAAAAATTCGCTAATAATTTCAGTTGAAGGAAGGGAAGAACTAGTTAGGAACCAGGGAACTTTGGATATACGTAAATATCTACACTAATATTGCAACACAATCGTAAAATCGTAAAAACGATGATAATGGTACCCGATTCTTACCTCTAATCAAGAGCGTCCGATTCACAGTTGGAAAAATATAGCTTGTATACGAGGTGAAAATGTTAAATTTCTTTTCAAGAATTTCATAGCAAGATGAGCGTGGAAAAGGAGTAATTACCTTCATATATAATAATGTACACGAGTGCATAAATAAGAATTGAACCGTAATTATATAACAGTATTTATATATAAATGCGTATGCAATGTATTTCAATACACTTATAAGGCATCCTCTGAAATCCAATTCATTCTTATTCACATATGTACATTAATATATAATGCATGCATTGTATGTATTTTCATTTGATATACTTGAAAATTTGAGAAAGTTCAAACTCAACTATGTATAAAAAAGAAACATTTAGGCAGTGTCTGTGCGTAGCTATATAGAAATTTGCCCTGTTAAAGTACATGCTTCATATACCTCCGTAAACATATAATCATTAAAAGAGTAGTTTTACGCACTCTTAATAAGCTTATGCAATTGACATTTTCGAATTTTCTCTGCATAATCGAAATAGGAAGAGAGAAAGCTCTTCTGCTTCTCTCAAATGAAATAAATTGTGAGAACATCGCCACAACGCCTGTTAAATTATTCCAGAAAGTACTTGATTTTTCTGCTGTCGTATGCGTTGGTATAAAAGTCGACAAACCAAGCAAACGGTATTCATTCGACACTCAAGTCTCGTAAAAAATAAAAGGAAATAATTCTCGTTGTGCAACTTAAAAAAAGAAAAAATAGAAGCCAGCAGCTATTATTTCAATTTCAGTTAAAATAATTTTGCAAATAATTAAAAGAAAATCGATTTGAAATGTCATCTCTACCGTTATTGTTAAGTTTAATTGACGAATTGGATCGTGAAGCTAATCATCCATCTTATCATGGCAACGACTTTGGCTTGGGTCTGCCGCCATATTTGATTCATCGTCATCCATATCGCGAGCCGGCGAATAACATGATTGGATATTCTTTGCCATTTGGTATAGTTAGTCGTTTGAACGAACGTCAGGCTAGTCGCAGGGGTGAAAAAAGAGGCGAAGACAGAGTCTCGGCAATTGGTAAAGATGGTTTCCAAGTGTGCATGGATGTGGGCCAATTTAAACCCAGCGAACTGAATGTAAAGGTGGTAGAAAATGCAATTGTAGTCGAAGGTAAACATGAGGAACGAGAGGACCAACATGGCTTTATTCAGCGTCATTTTGTTCGCCGCTATGTCTTGCCTAAAGGGTACGACGCTGATAAGGTAGTTTCTACATTGTCGTCAGATGGCGTTTTAACAGTCAGTGTACCAAAGCCTCAAATTGAGGAGAAGGCTAACGAACGCATCGTTCAAATTCAACAAACTGGTCCAGCCCATCTTAATGTGAAACAGAATTCCCAGGAGAAAGTAGGTGATGCTGCAAATGGCGGCGGAGAAAATGCCGAAGTTAAATAAATTCAGATTCACTTCCTCAAGTTTATGCGTGTTGGATTTAATTCTGAATTCATTGTTCTTTTAAAATATATCCTCATCAGTACTATCATTAATCACATCCACACATACAAATGTATTCATATGTATTATAATAATGCGTAGTGTTCATAAACTTTTCTATTCCCATTGCATTTACGCGTCCTTAGTTTCATCCAAATGAATATTCTTATGGACGAAACTAAAGAATAAGCGAATAAAAACATTTACATGTACCGTATATTGTGAATGCGTGCATAAATACATCAATTCATTTGTTTTATTTGAAGGGATAGAAGGAATAGTGAAATTGACTCTGGCCCATTATCGTTGATATTTCATCCTTAAGAATTCCGCATTAACTGATAGGACTATAGAAGGGGAAGGGAAGAGTTAAGGTTAATCTACGGAAATGCAGACACTTTTGCGCTAAGACTTTGATGTAACCATGTATATCTTTAGCTTTTTATTTTTATTGAGACAATTGTTGTTTCTTGCGTTCACGGTCTTCCATTTTTTTACGCCATATCTCGCAACATTTTCGAGCGTATCACGTGAAATTCTTCTCTAACCCTATCAGAAATACCTGACGTCTGTGTGACGTAATTGAAATGCTTCTTTGGTGCAAGTAAAATGGGAATGGCTAACTTTCATTCTTTTTTGCCGGAGAAAAACCTCCATTTACAATATTTAAGATTTGACTTAGAGAAGTTTTGTAAAGGCTCTTATAATTGTGGCGTTGTTCTGCCATCATTTCTTTGTGCCTGGGTTCACGATTTTCTTCTCTCTCATCTCGTTTATATCTAGTAATGTATTTCTTATAGTCGCTCCGCTAACGACGAGAATCCAAAATGTATACAGAATTGCCTTTCATTTATGAAACAATTACTTAATTAGTATGGAGCGGTCAGAGCTACCGGAGATGTATTTCTTCTTTGCAAATTTGCAACGCGTATTTGTACTTGCTCCAAGAAATGGGGATTTATTGCTCATACCTATGCAGCAGACATATAATTCGAACATATCCACCACTTATCATGTATATTATATTCTCTCTTGTTATCCTTTCCTATTTTCAAAATATATGCATGATGATTACAAAGAAGTTCATTGATTCTTATAATCCTCATTATTTGTTATCTGTCTACTCTTTGTATTCATCTTGCGACAACAGCTGTTTGCAGTGTCAATGAAAGTAATGAATAGTAAGAGTTTTGTACGTAATCATAATATTGGAAGTTTTTTCCTTGAATCCTCGTGAAGAACGGCATTGCGAAATTCCTTTTTTATATTGGATGCGTTTTAATAGTGAATTAAACAAGGTTAAAATATAAGAACTTCTGGCAGCTCTTACGAAGAACAGATGTTGTGTTGTAGTTCTCCCAAAGAAAATGTTTTGTTTACTTGTGCGGCAAGTTAGGAAATCGGGTCGACTGTTTTCGCCAAATAGCAATACAAAATTCTTATCCAAGCAACTCTTGCACCTCAGTCAAAGTATTATTGATAATATCTGCATCAGGTTTTATATCGTTCATATTTTATATAATAGAACTTCTTATATTTCAGCTAAAAGACATGGTGAATATGAATGGCAAGATCCGAAATCGGAGGATGATGTGTAATGTTCTTTTATTATTTAGATAAATTTAATGATGAGAAAAAACGTTCACTAAATTGATTATAAATTGATTTTAGGGTACGCGTAATATATATTGATAAGGATGGTAAACGGTTAGAAGTGAGAGGCAAAGTAGGTGATAATATCTTGTATTTAGCTCACCGCTATGAAATTGAAATGGAAGGTAATTTTCAAATCTTGTGCATTACGATAAAATTCAAGTTATGAAAAAGCTTATAAATTAGGAGCTTGCGAAGCGTCCTTAGCTTGTACGACATGTCATGTGTATGTAAAGGATAATTACCTAAATAAATTACCACCCGCCGAAGAGAAAGAGGACGATCTACTGGATATGGCACCGTTCTTACGGGAAAATTCCCGTTTGGGTTGTCAAATTATACTCACTAAAGATCTAGATGGCATTGAACTGGAGCTTCCCAAAGCGACACGTAATTTTTATGTTGACGGCCATAAGCCTAAACCTCACTAAGTCAATATATATATATATAAATATACATGTGTATATATATGTGTATTGTAGTTTTAGAAAATTTCGAATTTCGAATTTATGCTTTCATTTGTTATTATAAAATTACTCAATTCAATTCTAACACATTTAGAAGGCAAAGCTATTCTGTGGTTTCTTCTCTTTATTGTTATCAATTTAAAAACGATGACATAATTGTTTAGAAATCAAAATACACAGTTATTGCAATTCTAGAAAATACAAAATATTACAATTCAATAATTTATAGTTGAACTGAGAGAGAACAAAGGAAATTACAAATAATTATATAATAAAAATACTTTCATCTCTAGTAAGATTGATCGGAAAACTTCGAGTTTTAAGAATTTTTACTAATTTTCATACAAGCAACTATTAATCTTGGGCAGCTAACTGCTTTCCGTCCAACAATTACGGTCTACCGTCCGATGACTTATATAAGATGACTTATATACGGTGATGAATTAATTCCATATTAGCTCTTATGACGTCTTGCAATTGGTTGTTTTTTATAGTACAACTTCTAACCTCTCGGATGTATAGATACGATTAAGAATTAATTTTTAATTAAAACAGAAATCAATGATATATGATTAGTTCTTGGCTTTGAAGTTAATTAAACTAGAGTAAGAAAATATTGAAATTAAGAGCTAATTAAAAGGAGAAAAAAGGAAAGTAAAATTAAATTTAAGCAATATTTAATGTATATAGGCGATGATAGGTGTTTGTTTCAGAATCTTCGAGATTTGACTGCATCGGCTGAAAAGAAGAAGCGTCGAATGTAATAAAAATCCAATGTTAAGAAATAATATGTTAAATTAAAGCCATTTGGAGTTGCAGCTTTCAGTTTGAATCCGCTGAATTTGAGCGGGAGCCAAAACGAGAACGGGAGCCTGAATTTGATCGAGATTGAGAACGTGACTGTGAATGTGAGCGGGAATTCGACTGTGAACGGGAACGTGAACCCGAATGTGTAAGGGAACGTTCACTCATTTTCTCTTCTTCTTGATCCTTCTCATTATCGTGCTGTTGAATTTGCTCTATTTCGTGCGACTTCTCGCGTTCCTCGCTTACTTTGCGATTTTCGACTATTTTACGATCATCTTTCACGTTCTTCTCATTACGTTCCTCTCTATCTTCATTTTTATCGTAAGGCTCATTAGTTGTTATGGCTGCTGTAAGCTCTTCCTTAGGCGAGAAATTTTCCCGATCCCGTTTTTCGCGCTCAGTCTTCTCGCGATTGCCGGCACCGCCGTTCTTTTTATTACTTTTTTTAAGACCTGCAATTTCTTTAAGCAAAGATGCCACTTTCCGATTCAAATTTTCAACTTTCATTTCATGTAAACGATCGATCTCCTTAAGTTTGTTTCGCATCTCCATTTCCTTTTCGTAGTTTTTACCTTTAAGCTCGGTCAACTGAAAGTGAGAACAAACGACAAGTGAGAAATTTATAATACCCCAAATCGTTCGTACAACAGCATCCGTATATACATACTAATTTGTCTTTTTCCAGTAATTCCTTATCCTTTTGAGATAAACGCTTTTCAAGGCTGGCTATGCGTTCTTTCAAAGTTGTAATTGCTACTACATGATCAGCGGAATTTGGATCAATGCTAATGACAGCTGGACCGGCTATTGAACCTAAGCCAATGCTACCGTTACCGCTGCACGAGGAAGCTGCTCGCGATATTTTCTCCGGCAAATCTAAGCTGGCCGAATTTACAGCCGATAAATTGACGCCTGCATTACCACTGCTAGTCACTTTGGAGAGGTCACTACGTGAAGATTTTTTTGCTGATGCTGAAGCACTGTCACGATGCGACCTCTCGTGTGGTCGCTTTTTTGACGGTATTCGTCCGTCTTGCTGGGCCTTTAGTAAAGCTCGTTTATAAGCACAAGTGCAGAGCCAACACAGCAATTTACCATTTACCTATAATTAGAAGGAGAGGGGCAGTAAGGTGGGGAGAGGGGGGAAGAGGTAAGTAATTTTCTTATTTATATATATGATATAAGATAATATAATATGTTTGTTTACTTCTGAACGCAAACATTTATCTACTTTACTTATAGGGAAGTCAGCGGAAAACAACTTTTTTTAATTAAATGCATACGATTGTAACCGCATTTTTTGTTATTGTTTTTTTTTTTTTTTTATTCACACCTTTTTATTTTCATCCCGCCTATCAAAGGCAGATCGGAGTTTACATTCGTCACATTGAACCGGTGGGCCATATTTTGCTTCGTAGCTAGCGCATCTATTTAACGTCAAACGACCATTTGGGTTTAGATTAATTTTCCGATAACCAATCACGTTATTCATCGGATTTATTCAGGGAGCGTTGTGGCGTATTAAAAGTTCGTAATTATGATTTGTGGAGGAAAAAGAGAAGAAGAAAAATGTTTGCGTTCATAAAACGTTGCATTCAAGGAAAAAATGATATTCTACTAAATACTGTATTTAGGCAAATTATAATATGTAAGCATATCAACTAATTTGGCAATAAATAATGTTCATATAATTTTTAATTTAATGCCAGTCAAAAAAAGCACAATACAAGCATTTCATTGATGCGGCCAACCAAAAATGTCCAAAATATAAAATTAAGAGTTTAATGTGACGTTGTCCTTGTTTTCAATAAGCCGATCTTTGCGTTGCATTTGTATAAATATACAAATAATTTTAATTATTTTCTACCAATATATTTGGGCGAAAAAAAAACGGAGTCGGACAGACATTTGCTGAAATTTAGCTTTTCTTTGAAAAGTGTAAGATATTATATGGACAATTTCAGCATAGTCGATCACTATGTAAAAAAATTCAAGGTTACATTATTAACTGATCTAAGATCAAAGGGAACGAAACAATAGAAACTAACGAAATTAAAATATATTGTGCATTTTTTTGAATAATTAAAAACTATGTTTTCTGAGAAAATGTAAAATATGAATGCAATTATACAAACCTCATGCACTTGGATCCGCCAAAAGCAGCAACAATTTTACAACATTCGCAGGCACTGGGTTTGCCGTATTTATTAACATTATGCTCACATTTTTTGCAAACATTTTGTGATTTCCTGTTTTGTTCGTTTTACAGTAAAATGGGGGTTACTTTAATGCAAGATCTTCGTAAAGAGACCTATGGTATGAGACTACTTACGTGTTCGGCTGAAATTCGGAACGGCAATAAGTACATTTCACTATTGAGGTAGAGCCGCGGCAATTCTGTGAAAATGTGAAATTTTTAAAACGTTAACAGCTACTTTTTCTATATTGTATTCCAATCACCTTGCAAAGCTGAGTTCCCGATGACAATTCTTCGAACGGATGTCGCGAGAAGCATTTCGAACAGGCAAATAATACTTTTCCACTCATCTTTTGTAGACAAAATTTGTGCTTTTTGCTATGTTAGGTTAGAATTTCCCTTCGAGTCTCGAAATAAAACTTATTGACTGTCAAATTTTTTAATTTTTTTTATTCACAAACTTTGCAAAAGACGCAATTTCTCTTGTCAAAAAAGCAACTAAAAATGGCGTCAAATGAAATTTCGAAATCATTCACACGTCTGTTCGAAAGCATTCACACATCTGTTATACGTGAAGTACTAAAATGCTTTCGGTATGCAATGTTACATATTAAAATTTCTACAAAATTTTTGTATATATTTAGCTAACTACAAATTGAAGTATGTATTCTGTACGTTCGTACATTGCGACACTGCAAACTCAATTTACATGATAATTATGTTTTAGTAATAATAAATTTTAAGTAATAATAATAAGCACACTTATATAATGAATGCAACGATATCCTATTCAATTATTATCTTATATATAAAAGGATTAAGAAGATTGTATGCGGCCAAAGGAAATCATAAACGGTCGCATTATCTAGTAATCGAGAAATGCTGAATAATGCTTACCTAACAAAGAATGATGACTAAGATATTTAGACAAAATAGTAGATTTCAGATAGTGGATAATGAATATAACATCGTAGATAATAAAATTCAACGTATCTGAAACAACTACATATTAACGCAAGTTGTTTTTTTTTTTCCATTGAAATTTAACAGTTCAGTTCACGGTTAAAATTTTAGTGAATCCGTAATAAAGCAGATTTATTTATTTTTCGGAATTGCTAAACATCATAGAAGCTTTTACATAAATTGTGTTGATCTGTATAAAAATTACATTGAATTACACTACCAGGCTGAAATAATCGAATCGATACATTTACGTTAAAAGGGATAAAAATGCATTAGGGGCATTCAGTTGCTTATTGAAACACAGTTACCACATCGGTGAAAGTTTACAAATATTTATTATTCTCAAATGCAACCATGGTATGTTCGAAAACAATGTGAGCAACATATTGTGAGCAGGGAAATAAATTCAAATATATTATTTTGAAAGCCGTCGCTTCACTTTGCTTGCCACCGCGAAGAAAAGATCGAGCAATATTTGTAATAGAGAGATCAAAATAGTAGAATTTTGCACTTTTTTTGTGATTTACTGAATCAATTTAACAGCAATGGTTGGTGAACAAAAAAATATAAAAGTTGTAGTGCGTGTAAGACCATACAATCAAAAAGAATTGGAGCAAAATACGAAAAGTATCATTAAAGTGATGGATGAAACAACGCTACTTTTTGATCCGGAGGAGGAGGATGACGAATTCTTTTTTCAAGGCACTAAACAAAAATATAGAGATATCACAAGACGAGTAAGCAAGAAAATGAGCATGGAGTTCGATCGAGTTTTTGATGTAGACGCTACAAACTTTCAAATATTTGAGGAATATACGGCGCCGCTTGTCGACTCGGTTTTGAATGGGTAAATAATAGTTTTCGCAAGCGTTCACTTAAAATGCATTTATGGATTTGATTTTTGTTTATATAATTATTTGCTTTAGCTATAATTGTTCTGTGTTCGTTTACGGAGCAACGGGCGCCGGGAAAACTTTTACAATGCTTGGTAATCATACTACACCCGGTCTGACTTTCTTAACAATGAGCCACCTATTCGATAAAATCGAAGAAAAAAAGAGTGCATGCCGATTCGATGTGGGCGTTAGCTATTTGGAAGTTTACAATGAGCAGGTAATGAATCTGCTGACCAAAACAGGCCCGCTTAAATTACGAGAGGATACAAATGGAGTTGTTGTGAGCGGTTTGTCTTTGAAACCAATATATAGCGCTGAGGAGTTGCTTGAATTATTAGCACTTGGCAATTACAATAGAACCCAGCATCCCACTGATGCTAATGCTGAAAGTTCCCGTTCTCATGCCATATTCCAAGTGCATATTCGCATGACAGAGCCTAAAACGGGTAGTAAGCGTATGGTAAAACTATCCATGATCGATTTGGCTGGCAGTGAAAGAGCGGCTAGCACTAAAGGATTGGGATTACGATTTAAAGAAGGCGCTAGCATTAATAAATCTCTTTTAGCGTTGGGCAATTGCATTAATAAGTTAGCTGATGGTCTGAAACACATACCATATCGCGACTCTAACCTCACGCGCATATTAAAGGACTCATTGGGAGGTAATTGCCAGACATTAATGGTGGCCAATGCTTCAATGAGTTCCCTAACTTATGAGGATACCTACAATACCTTAAAAGTACGGTGTATCGGTTTAATAACATATCAATAAATATTAATAGATATTTGGTTCTTTTTAGTACGCCAGTCGCGCAAAGAAAATTCGAAGCACTTTGCGACAAAATGTTTTGAAATCGAATATGCCCAAAGATTTTTACATTAAAAAGGTTAACGAGCTTATGGAAGAAAATGAACGTCTTAAACGAGCAAACGCTGCTCTTGAACCGAAAATTGCTAAAGGCAGTTCGTTAGATGAAGACGACTTTCAGAGGTGGTGCGTTCGTATTGATGTCTTATTTTCCGAGACTTTAAAGGTGCAGGAAAAATTAATTGGCTTGAAAAATCATACAAAAATCTTGGCATTTCGCGACAAACTTAAAACAGCTATAAGCGAACTTTTTGAAACTTTTCCTGCTGCTTGCAATGCACAAAAGGTAAGTGTTTGAGAAAATTTGTTTATTTTATTGGAAAAAGGAAAAATAATTTGTATACTTGCTATCAGATAACGGATGGATTTATTAATTTTGTCTTCTTCCTTAAAATCTCCTTGAAAACATAGGAAGATTTATATTAGTATAAGAATTGACTTAAACATCTCTGCCATCATCCTACAAAAAAAAAAAAATGTATTAAAAAATATCAATCCTTGCCGGGAGAAAATTTAAATTTTAATCTTTTGCTCTTGCTTTTGAAATTTTCCGGTGATAGCATATAGTCATCTGCTATTAGTACGTAACGATCGGCTCATTATAAAAGAAGTTTAACAAAGCGATTTTGCTTGTAACGTCTTGTGCCGTTTAGAGTTGTTGATACTTAATTAAAAAGAAAAAAAGAGTTTTGAGATGTACAGATGTACTCTGATTAAATAACAATTCACGTCATAAGTAAATAATTTATTTTTAAGAATCTCCAAGTAGTTCCTTTTGCTTAGACTGAAGCAGTTTCTCCGCTTCACATATATATTTATCACTGATGGCAGTGATTTGAGTTTGCATTGAGTAAACATCATCTTTCGATATATTCTCTTTTTTCTTTAATTTCCTAATTACATTGTTCTGTATATCCTTGATTAAATCGCGATACTTAATGAAGCACGTTTTCGCATTTTTGGAGAGATTTTCTCGATGATCTTTCGTAATCTTAGGTATAGGTATAAAGAGAGTTGTGCCATCTTGTTGCGGATTTAAATTCATACCACTTTTCTCTAAAGCCGTCAACACATTTGGTATTGTTTGAGGAAACGCAATCATATTGATTATTATTGTTTTAGGATTTTTGCGGGATATTTGGGCCAGTTCTTGCAATTCGTGCTCTTTGCCATCTACAGAGATTTTAAGAGAATCAATGGCGCCGGTGGTCGAACGCAGTGATAGATTCTTAATGAAATCATCCTTCATTTGTTGAACGGCTTTTTGCATTTGTGTATTAAGCCCGTCGTAGTCAATGACATCACGCAGCAGCGTTTCATTAATTTCTACTTTGGCGGGCTTCCCTTTTTCTTTTTTTTTATCTTTGCTCTTTGCGTAATAGCGGATTTGGTTTTCTACTGCCTGAACCGACGATAACGTATAGGTGGAAGGACTGGCTTTGAAAATCTTCGCACTTAACGTTGAACCAATTCGCAACGATCTAATTAGAGGAGCGGACTTAATGACAAACATTTTTTACACAATTAAAGAATTTACAATCATTAGCCAGATTGCGAGTTGTACGACAATTTTTATTTATGCACATATGCTATTAGCTTAGAGTTGCCAAATTCGTTAAAATATGATCACCAAAATGTTATGGTTTACAGTAGCTTTGTCTTAATAATACAGCGACTTTACAGTTAAAAAATATTTGTTTGACTTGTTTTGGAGGAGAATCGAAAAATATAAAAGTATATAATAACGAATAACTATTTGTAGGAATGTGCTACATATATATCAACGACTCCTCGTAACTTGAACAAGCAAATTAATAAATTAAGGGGAGAAATTGAGTATTGGAACGAAAAGCTCGCAACCCTTCACGCAGAGTTGAACAAATTAAAGACTGAGGTGAAGACCGCAAAATGTGCAAACAATTTACAAATATTTTTAAAAAAAGAGTACATATGTCTGCATAACGCACAACAGTTACTCGGAAGTAATCATCGAAATGATCTTCATTTTGAGTTGCAAAGAGCAATTGATTTAAGTTACAAAATCATTAAGGATGCATGTCTAACTAGAGAACAACGGTATAAGATTGAAAACCTGCAACAATGGTTCTACGCAGACATTTTAAAAAATAACGATGACCATAACAAGGATTTTAGTGAATTGGTAATGACGAATACGGAAGTTAGTAAAGTGAATGATTATGAGACGTGTGAACATATCGACGAGTTTGTCCTTAGCAAATCAGATGGTGTAGGTTCTTTAGACGGCGAAGAGAACGTCAATGAATATTTGCTATCAACAACTTTTAAGACTCAACCTAATAAAAAACGATGCAATATGAATGAAACGAAAATACTATTTGCACAACCAAAGAATTCCAACGGAGATTCAACTTTCGATGTCTGTTCAACTTCAACTGCAAACAATACCGATAAGGAAGCAGCAAAAAATTTTGTTAAGAGTGTGCTCTGCACTGAATTAGTCGATGCTCCCAAAAATACAGAAAAGTTAAAAGATGGTACGCATATGCTTATACTGAAATATATGTGCACTTTAATCATTTGCGTTATTTTTCTTAATGTAGTCCTACTTAAATCGAAGAAATTCACACGCAACAATCTTTTGAGAGCAGTCGCTGTTGGCGTCCAAAAAGAGAATAAGAAAATTAGTCCAAATCGAATTCGTAAAAGCCCGCGTCATATGATGGCAAAAGGTACATAGATGGAATTCATAACAATTTTTAAACATAAAATTAAATTTTAATATTTCTATTTTAAGCTTCAGGTGCATCTATACTTTTGGGAAGACGTTTACCAATGCGACAAGTAAATGAAAGTTCAAATGGATTGCCTGTACGTATTAACCGTGCAGCTTCACTACGTGTCAAAAAATAATTCAAACATTCTTCGGCACTTGTGTTTGACGCCTTTAAGTATATCTTTGCAATTTTATGTTTGCCCCATTTGTTCATCAAATTGAATATTAATGCAGGTCAATTTATTTTGCGTTACGTTTTTTTCAATATACATACATACTATAAAAATATAAATTTCGATTTTTAATGAAATTTAATTAAACTGTAGGTATTTCTAAATGGTCGTATTTAAAAAAAATCATAAAACGAAGATAGAGCAATTCCTGTGGAAGCCAATAAGCGAGGAAATAAACTAGTCGTAATGATTATAACGGAAGAGGCAATACCCAAGTAAAGAATCAATATCGTAGTAAGAAGTATAGAGTAGAAGGTTGGAGTAGAAATAGTATGTGGCAAAAGATTATGATAATTAATCCAGCGATCGCTCCCTGCTACGTATGGCCCAAGAGGTATGTTATTATACGTCTGTATTGGGCTTGTGTACGCTTCTACTCGCTTCCAGTTATTTTCTCCGTTTTGATATTTGCCAGTCCTTGATGTATTTGAAGTCATTTTAACGTCATTGTTGTAATGATGCCGATCTCGGTCTGATCTATTATCCTGCTGTGTATAATGAGATTTATATCTCTGATCCATAAGTCCCTGTACGTTTGCCTTCAAAACAAAAGGTAAAACTAAAGACTTATTTACTTGTAAGTCTATATTTGCTGCACTATATGCTTCTTTTACTTTGAAATGCAATGCAATTTGTGAAAATAAAATTAATATATGGTACTGCCGCATTTTGCGATTCGTTTGTTGTCTTTAAGTTCACTTGCAACCGCTTGAACATATTGCTTTTATATGTTAAACTATTTTCGCCTGGTTAAACATTGACAGACAAGTTGACATTTGTGTTCGCTCTTGCTGGCAAAAGTAGCAGTCACTCACATAAAAATTAATTTGATTAGAAAGTTTGCTTATTTTTAGTAAATTTTGTATTTAGATAAGCATATGTCTTTGCAATTTCTAATGTAAGTTGTTAATAAATTTGACAATACAGCCTATTTAACTTTTCCACCGATATTTAACATTTTGATGACCTCTTCTTTGTACTTATTTAAATTGTACTCGTTTTCACCTTCATTTATGAGTTGTTCGAGACTGCTAATAAAACCATTTGTAGCCTTTAATTTGTCATTTGCTGTAGCAGGTGTCCTACCCCAATTGATAATGGCCTCTACCGACTCTTTAGATTTGTTACGATCATAATGATAGTATTCCATATCGGCTTCCGATTTGGTTGCCTCCCACGATTCGGTGGTAAATGATTCGTGATAGCAAGCCGTTAATAAATACATTGCATAGTCGTAATTTTGTTTACGTAAAGGGCAACGATCAGTTACGATTGTGACAAGATCAGTGTCACGATTATAATGTTCACCAACTAATCGCAAAAATTTATCTTTAGCATGGGCATCGAACTTTAGATCACTCAATTTTATAGATAGCTTAACGCGTCTTGCCTCAGGATTACGTATTGTAGGCGAAGCTTGACAATAATCGGTGGTGACAATATCAATGGGAAAGTGATTTTTCCATTTTTCAGCGGTTTCCAAACCTTTTGGCCAAGGATTACAAAATTTTTTAAGGGCTTCACAATGTTGCTTAACAGTTGGGGGCGTCAAATGCAAAAAGTTTGGAATTTTCATAAGTTCAGCATTAGCGAACTTTGACGGAGCACTTCCTTTTTCCGCATAACCTTGGCGAATCGGTAATGGAACCGATGCGGGATGAAAGGAACGAGGCGCTGGCCAAACAGCACTCCAATCTTGATCCGTTGCCATCTTATGTGTACGTGGTGGTGGTACATCAGCCTTTTTGTATTGACGTTTTTTCGCATCTCGTTGCTGGACAGAACGCAAATTAAGCACTCGGAACTCTTTTGGAAAAGAAATTTTTATAAGTTTAGTACATTGGTTAAATATTTTACACGAATACTTGCCATTCTCTTGCTCACTCTCTTCACGCGTCAAGTTTGATGTTATCGAACGGAATACGAACACCTTCTTATTTTTATTACGTAGGTTTGGCCTCAGTAAACGTGTAACGGCAGCCATCTTGAATTAGTTTATTTTTATTTAGAATCGTCCAATACGTTTCAAAGCAAATTTGAAAACATTAACAGAATTCAACCGATTATGAAAACTCACTTTCATAATAAAATAGCAAAAAGATAAAATTATAAAACAGTGTAGCCAAAGCTCGATATTTATATCGATATACATGTTCAACTTTTTATTATTACAAAAGGTACAGAGGATGTTTCTAATTGCAAAAAGAGCAGCAGTATTTTGCACTGCTTACAATTCCCTTTAATTTTACATTTTTTTGTGAATTGTTTTAACGGCTTGCATGCAAGATGCGGATTATTTAATAAACTGAAAAGTACTAAGCACAAGCACATGAGGTCCCCATCAACTCTTTTGAATATATAAGAGAAGTAGAATAGAATAGATAGAAATAGAAATGAAGTGACTAATTTATAAGTCCAATAAATTATATAACATCTGGATATGAAAAATATTGGTGATATTATAGTTGCGCTTACTAAGAGATATTGTTTTTTTTATTTATATGTTTGCTCACACTCTTGGGGACATTCGGAGCTCTTGGTGTTCATAGTTGTATTGCCACAAATTCAGTGATTTTTCTTTAAAATTGTAAGTCCGGCAAAATCTTAGATTTGTCCTTTGATGCAATCAATTCTCAAGAGTTGACATTACTTGAAACCTATTATTACAAATAGTTTTGTCGTACTGATCTTTAGCTTTTTTATATTCATGTTAATATATACGTTTTTCATACGATGTATTTAATAGGCATTTAATAAAAAGCAAAAACAAACGCACTGGATGCAGATGTATGAGATGTAGTTCGACTTGACGTAAATGCATATTGAATTTTTATCTAATTTGCTTTTCTTTAGACGCAAGAAAATAGTTATCAGTAATAGTAACTAATGTCGATAAGTGCAACAAATGATAAAGTGATAAGTGATAATTGAAGCTGAAACGTAGCAAAAATTATAATAGAGAAACTTGGAATTTCAATATTTAGGTGCTCGTATTTTGTTTAATGGTAGAATATTATTGGTGGTGTGTACATATATTTATATGTTTGTAGGAGAACATTACAGAAAATTTTTATTACAGCATGTTAGATGCAGTTAACACAACTGCCTTATGTATTCAAAAACTTGATCGTATTTCGTTGACGGATCTTTATACTAATATTGTGATTACATATGTAAGATCTAGAATTGCTTATTAAAGGCATTCATAGAGCATATAAACGTGCATATATTGATTAGCGTGAGATTTGAAATCGACTAACTCGGATACATTGGCTTGCTTCCCAGTTTGTCATCTTTTTTTTTTGGAACTTTTGTCAACAGTGTCAAAGCTGAGATAAGAATGTGTAACTTTACACGCACATAATTAATTCAGTTCCACGGATCCATTTTGAACAGAAAGATGATCCAATTACAGCCTTTAGCAAACCGACTAACGATTCGATATTTAAAAAGTGCATCTAAAATTCCAGTACAAGAATGATGCCGATCGACCAATTGACATTTTACAATTAACAAAAGTCTTTATTTATTAATGTTATGAGATTGTGATTAACTAAAATTCGCTCTTAACGAGAAATACAATATTTTTACATTCTTATTTTAGAATTAGAGAGTTTAAAATTATGAGACGTCCAAATATGAAATGGTTGTTTAAAACTGCTTGCTTACTCATCATTGCGGGCACATTATTCATTTTTGCTATGGGCTACTTGTCGGCTAGTTCGTATACAAATCGATTACCGGATCAAAGGCCAAACGCAATGCCTTATGTTGCACTGGAAGTGGAGAAACGAGAAATGGAAGGACAACAACAACAACAGCAGCAACAACATGTCAAGTTACAACTTTCTCCGCTTAACCAATTAAAAAAGGATTGGCATGACCATGCTGCGATGAAAGCGGACGTTGAACGTGTGGGTTTCGGAGAACAAGGGAAACGAGCAGCAAATAATGATGAGAGCACACGAGAATTAGAGCGTAAAATGTCGCTAGAGAATGGTTTTAATGCTTATGTTTCTGATATGATATCTGTGAATCGCTCATTACCGGATTTACGCTATGAAGGGTGAGTCTTTGCGAGCTCATTAACCTACAGTATTTTTATATAAAAGTTTTCTTATATTCTTTCCGTGCAGTTGCCGAACTAAAGAGTATTTAGTTAAATTGCCCACAGTAAGCATAGTGATACCATATCACAACGAGCATTTTAGTGTTTTGATGCGTTCCGTGCACAGCTTGATAAATCGTTCGCCTCCCGAATTACTTAAGGAGATAATATTGATTGATGATTTTAGTGATCGAAAATATCTTTTTAAGCAATTAGATGAATATGTTGGAGAGAATTTTCGCAAAGTGCATATTTTTCATTTGCCACAACGTACCGGACTGATAGGAGCACGAATGGCTGGCGCTCGGAAGGCTAGTGGAGATGTTTTAATATTTTTAGACTCTCATGTGGAAGCCAATTATAATTGGTTGCCGCCACTTTTAGAGCCGATAGCCTTGAATAAGCGAACTGCAGTATGTCCTTTTATTGATGTGATTGATCATAGCAATTTCGAATATCGAGCACAAGATGAAGGTGCGCGTGGTGCTTTCGACTGGGAATTTTATTATAAACGTCTACCCTTGCTTCCGGAAGATTTACTTGATCGAACGAAGCCCTTTCGCAGTCCAATTATGGCTGGGGGCCTTTTTGCCATATCTAGAGAATTTTTTTTCGAATTAGGTGGTTACGACGAAGGTCTAGATATATGGGGCGGAGAGCAATATGAATTAAGTTTCAAAATATGGATGTGTGGTGGTGAGCTGTTGGACGCTCCTTGCTCTCGTGTGGGTCACATATACCGTGGCCCTCGCAATAGTCAACCAAGCCCTCGAAAAGGGGATTATCTACATCGGGTAAGAGATGCTACTTTGCTCTAAATAATATTTTAATTCACCGAATGTATTGCACATTTTTTGCTATTGTTTAGAATTATAAGCGAGTTGCAGAAGTGTGGATGGACGACTACAAACAATTCTTGTATGAACATGGTCAAGGTATATATGAGACTATCGATGCAGGTGATCTGACTGAACAAAAGCGAATACGGGAAAAATTGCATTGTAAATCGTTTAAATGGTTCATGGAACAAATTGCTTTTGATTTGATCAAAGTTTATCCGCCGGTGGAACCATCGGATTATGCGTATGGGGCTATACAGAGTATTGGTGCACCGTCTCTCTGCGTAGATACTCTGGGTAGATCTCGTCACGCTCAAATCGGTTTATATCGTTGTCATGACGACATTCGTCGACCACAACGCAATCAAAACTGGGCACTTAGCTGGCATAGAGATTTGCGGCTTAGACGAAAAAAGGATTGCTTAGATGTACAGGAAAGATTTAAAAATGCTCCGGTTTGGTTATGGGATTGCCATTTGCAAGGAGGTAATCAATTTTGGTCGTATGATCGTGAACATAATTGGCTTGTTCATGGCGAAAACAATGACAATAGTAACAAACGGTGCTTAGAGGCCTCTCCATCCGATCGCAAATTGTACGTTAACATTTGCCGAGAAGGTAACCGCAATATGCAATGGAAATTCGGAGTTACGAACGCCACAGCCTTGAATCATTTTTGGGATTTAGTCCCCAAACTTCGTTAATTGACATTTAAGAATTTGATCATCTTAGCAATGTACTTAAAATTGTTCCACAAGAAAGAGAAATGTGTCTTTGAGTAGACATTCTTAAGCAATAACTAATATTCCAGTCGATATAATTATATATAGTAATCATAAATAAGTGTAACATTCCACATAATTTCGTTCTATTTGTATATATATATATATATTTGTATTTATTACACACACGCATATATATAGACATACATACATACATACATATATATATATATATTTTAAATGCATTTGTGATTTTTCTAGTTTTTCATATACAAATAATGATTATTTTTATTTATATGAATACATATGTATATTTTGTTCTTTATACATTTTAAAACTTCTTTCATTTACGATTTCGGATTTTATTTCGTTTGATGGTCTTTATATTTTTTACAATTTTAAATGGCTGGGCGACTTGGATTCGCATTATAAGTTTTTAATCGCGCTTATGATGGCACTAAGAGTTTCACGATTTCCTCATCTCTATTATGAGCGAATGCGTCAAGCACATATATGTTTTAATAGACGAGCATTGAAAAATGTTTATTGGGATTTTACATAACGAGATTGGTTGTGATTTTTATTAAAGGAAAACGAAAAAAAAAAAAAAAAAAAAAAAAAACAGTTAAAAAATTAAAAAATTGTCAATGTTGTTAGAAATCAATATAATAAATAATTAATTGAAATTATACAAAAATGAATTGATTGCAATACTTCTTATAGCGTATTATCGTAAACGCAGCGCCATTGAATAGTCGTAGGGGCTGTCCGTTCGAATTTATTCCGGGATATTTACTTCATTGCACTTACGCAAGCGATCGCCGATTGGCATATTTCGCCTTCAGTCATTAAAAACTCTTTCGAGCATAGCGTCAAGCATCTGGTCAAGTTGTTTCGCATACCAGATGCATTTTTGATTATCACTTGCTTAAAAATATTTACTGTTATCTCTTTGCTAATCCCTAGCTCTAATCATGTCATCGATTCTTTTCATCGATTTACACTTATTTAACAACACCTGAATTCATAACGTGATCATTAACGATACGTTAAGAAAAAAGACAAACGTCGCTCACTTCTAACAGTTGCGGACGCTCTCATAACTTGAAAAATTCTCGAAAACTTTTCCTTATTTCGCCCCTGTTCAGTACAATTTCAATAAGCACAATATGGATACATTGTATATAGAGAATCAATTTTGCATAAAGTACTTTAGGATTCATTTATCACGGAAGTGGAACAAGCACTAATTTTTCGACTCGTTCCATCTACGAAAGTCATCAGTTTTATATAATAGTTTGGGGAAAAAGAAATCCATTATTTTTATAATGGATTTCTTATTTTTTCTTATTTTTATAATGGAAGTGTCTTCATCTAACAACGATGACTCACGTACTCATCTTAAAAAGCAAGTAGAAACGAGGCA